TCACCGGAGGAGACACCAATCTTGGAACACAAGTCAAGATAGCGGGACTTCGGCAGCGCCTTGGTGAGAAGATCTGCAAGCTGAGACGTGGAGGGGAGGTGGCGAACAACAAGCTGACCACGTTCAACACGTTGACGAACAAAGTGGAAGTCGATAGCAACATGCTTCATGCGGGAATGGAACACCGGATTTGAACTGAGATAGGTAGCCCCAAGATTGTCACAAAATAGCACCGGGCAACCAGATGGTGAGAGTCGGAGTTCAGAGAGAAGTGATCCGTGCCAGGCGAGCTCGGCGGCAGCAGCAACAGCTTTGTATTCAGCCTCGGTGGAGCTCCTGGCAATGGTCTTCTGTTTCTTGGACGTCCAGGAGACCAGAGTGGAACCAAGGTAGACAATATAAGCAGTGGTGGATGAGCGGTCATCCTGGTCGCCGGCCCAATCCGCGTCGGAGAAGGCCTGAAGACGATGAGATGCAGAGGCTGAGAAAATGATACCGCGATCCAAAGTACCCTTAAGATAACGGAGCACACGTTTGACAGCCTGCCAATGGAGCTCCGTGGGGCGGTGCATAAATTGAGAGAGATGATTGACCGCAAAACTGATGTCCGGGCGAGTGAAAGAGAGGTATTGCAAACCGCCAAGAATACTTCGATAAGTAGTTCCATCAGTGGCAGGGGAGCCATCAGCTAGGCAAAGAGTGGTCGTAGAAGACATTGGTGTGGCTGTGGGCTTGGCTTCAAGCATGGCTGCGCGATGGAGCAAGTCAATAGTGTACTTGCGTTGAGTCAAAAGAGCACCAGTGGGAGTGCGAAGAAACTCCAAGCACAAGAAGTAGTTTAGGTCGCCCAAATCTTTGAGAGAGAAGCAGGCAGCCAACATTTGAACACACCGTGTAACGTGGGCAGGAGAGGAACCGGTGATGACAATGTCGTCCACGTAGACAAGAAGGTAAATCGTGACCCCGGGTTGGTGAAGCAGAAACAAAGAAGCATCGGACTGGGACTGCGTGAAACCAGATTGTTGGAGGAAGGTGCGAAGAGCATGATACCAAGTACGAGGGGCCTGCTTGAGGCCATATAAGGATCGATGTAATCTGCAAACAAAGGAGGGGTTGGCAGAATCAACATAACCCGGAGGTTGAGCCATGAACACTTCTTCTTGGAGTACGCCATTGAGGAACGCATTGTTGATGTCGAGCTGTCGAAGGGGCCAACCACGAGCAACTGCAATAGCCAGAATTACACGAATGGTGGCAGGCTTGACGACAGGACTATAAGTGGCATGAAAATCCACACCAGGGCGTTGGTGGAACCCTTTGGCCACCAGCCGGGCCTTGTAACGAGCAACAGAACCGTCGGCATTGCGCTTGATACGGAAAATCCACCTGCAACCAACAACATTTGCATAATCCGGCCGTGGGGTTAAGGACCACGTCCCTTTAGCGGCGAGCGCAAGAAGTTCCTCTTGCATTGCTTGGCGCCAAAGAGGATCAAGGAGTGCCTGTCTCACACTGGTAGGCTCGACGGGAGAGGAGGGCGGGTGACGGGTGGCGGTGAAAAGCCGTTTGGGTTTATAAATGTTATTTTGGGAGCGAGTGATAATTTTACGTGGGGGAGGCGGAGGAGGGTTGGGTTCGGTGGGAGTGTGGGAGGGTGGGGTGGAAGGTGTCGTATCATGAGGGAAGGAGGAAGTATTTGGGGAAGTAGGGTGATTGGTAGTGGAAGGACTGGCGGAAGTTAACGGGGGACAGGGGTTGATTGGGGCCAAGGGAGGAGATGTGGTGGGAACAGTAAAGATGGGAGGGTCAATGGAAAGGGAAGCCCGCCAAGTATCGATGGAGGAGGGAGAAGGAGTAAAGTGTTGAAACGGAAATTGATTTTCGTCGAAAGTGACGTGTCGAGAGCTGTAAACACGACCAGACAGCGGTTCAAGACATAAATAAGCACTTTGAGTTGAACTGTAACCCAAAAAGACACAGGGTTGAGAACGAGAATCAAGCTTGTGAGATGTGTATGGACGTAAATACGGAAAACAAAGGCAGCCAAAAGTGCGAAGCTTATGGTAGTTGGGAGTTGTGCGAAACAATTTGTAATGAGGAGAGACGTTGGAAAGAACGGGGGTGGGGAGCTTATTGATCAAGTAGACGGCGGTATGGAAGGCGTAAGTCCAATAAGAGGTGGGAAGGGAAGCTTGATGAAGAAGGGAGAGACCGGTTTCAACGATGTGACGATGGCGGCGCTCGGAGAGCCCATTGTGTTCCGGAGTGTAGGGTGGAGTGGTTAGATGGTTTATGCCATGGGTAGCCAAAAAGGAGTTGAGCTTGTCATATTCACCACCCCGATCAGAAAACAAGGTCACGATGGAGCTTTGAAATTGATTTTCGACAAGAGCCTTGAAGCGAGGGAAGACAATAGACAGATCGAATTTACGTTTGAGGGGAAAAAGCCAGACATATCGACTATAATGATCAACAAAAATCACATAATAACGAAAATTATCAACTGACAAGACTGGGGCTGGACCCCACACATCTGAATATATAAGTTCCAAGGGACGAGAGCTACGAAGAGAGGAATCAAAAAAGGGCAAACGATTACTTTTGCTGCATTGACAGGCCTGGCAAGTCGAGACAGCGGAGGGACGAAAGGGAGAGAGTGATCAGCAAGAACACGATGGAGAATTGGTGGAGCGGGATGGCCGAGACGACGGTGCCAATTGTCACCGGATGTTTTAGCGCCGACCAAAGCACACGGACGCAGCTTATTGAGAAAAATGGCTGGAAACGCATACACACCATCTCTAGCGTAGCCCCGAAGCAGAGGTGTTCCCGTAGGCTGAGATTTGACAACAAAGGAAGATGGGAAAAATTCAACAGAGGCACAGTTAGAGGCACAAAATTGGGACACAGAGATTAAATTTTGTGAAATAGATGGGGAACAAAGGACATGGTCAAGGGAAAAGGTATGCGAAGGGGAGGATAGGGAAAGGGAACCAGTGTGAGTAATAGGCAAACCTGAACCATCTCCAATGGCGATAGTGTCAGGACCATCATACTTCTCCGAGTGCGCTAGGTTGTTGAGGCTGTCAGTAACGTGATGAGAGGCGGCGGAATCAAGCAGCCACGAGGGAGTGGAGGCGCTGGTGGTGACATGAGCTTGGGGCTGATTGGGACGCAGCTCTAGATGGATGCGGAAGCAGGTGCGAGCGGTGTGACCAACTCGCTGGCAGTATTGGCAGACAGGCCGGGAGGACACCGATGCAGAGGAGGCAGGAGATGGCCGTGGGCTGGAAGGTGTCGGCCCAAGTAGGGACGGAGGGCGAGAGCTGGTGGACCTGGAGGAGGAGGACTGACGACCAGCAGAAGAGCCGCGATGCTGACGAGTAGTAGCATGGGCTAGAGGAGACTCAGACATCGTGGCGGTACGCTGAAGGTAGTCGTCATAGCTAACCAGTTTATCGTACAGTTCGTCAAAGGTTGGAGGAGTGTCACGAGCACGAATAGCTGCAGAGATCTCCTTGAAATCGGACCCGATATTGTTGAGAGTATGAAGGATAAGATCCAGGTCATTAACCGGGTCTCCGATGCGGGCAAGTTCGCCAGCGATTACCTTGATGGAGGACAAATAGGCAGAAACAGACTGATTTCCACGAGACGTAAGAGAGAGCTGATCGCGCAGATGCATAGCACGAGATCGTGAGCGACTCGCAAACATCCGTTCAAGGATGGCCCAGGCTTCTTGCGCAGTGGGAGCAGCATCAATGTGCGGCATGATCTGGTCGCCGACGGAAGCAAGAATGGCGTGAAAGATCAGACGATCTTGTCGTGCCCAGCGGCGGTAGGCAGAAGAGGTCCGGTCAGCGGGAGGGGTTCCGGTACCGTCGATGTGAGTGAGTAGATCATACCCAAAGAGAAGGGAGTGAAACTGAGATTTCCAGGAAGAGTAGTTGGGTCCGATGAGTTTGACTGTGAGCTGGGAGCCTACGTTGAAGGAGATGAGAGATTGAGGGAGGAGACTGTCACCGGAGTTGGAGACGCGGACATCAGAGGTCTCGCTGGTCATGGTGAAGGGATAAGAAGAACAAGGACCGGAAGAGAATAATGGGTTTGAAGAATAGTGACGGGGAAGAGGAAAGAACCTTGTTAAAGGATTTTGATTGGCTCTGATACCATATAGAATAAGGGTGCGTTTGGATAAGTGGATTTTAAATGTAAGGTATTTGAAATATTAGCATTTGAAATGGATATATTTGAAATATTAGCATTTGAAATACATGTAATTCAAATTCATTGTTTGGATACTCATTTGTAATTTGTTTGTATTTTGTATTTTATGATTTTCAATTTCAATTTTCAATTTTCTGGTCACTTACTACAAATTTTGGTAAATTACAGTTTGGTACCCGAACTTATTTTTTCTTACAATTTAGTACCTAAACTTTTAAAAGTTTACAAAAAGGTCCTAAAATTTTGATGGTAAAATTACATTTTGGTACCTTTATATGTTTTGCCTCACACTATAGTACCTAAACTTTCCATATTTTACAAATAGGTCCATTCTTTTGTTAGGAGGTATTTCAAATCACTAGTTGTTGAAATGTATTTGAAGTTGACAAAAAATACACTAGACATGTATTTGGAAATCACCCCATGAATTTGACACAAATCCAAATACCAAATGTAATTAATATCCAAACACATGATTTGGTATTTGGAAATCCAAATCACAAATACCAAATCCAAATCGTTGTATCCAAACGCACCCTAAGAGAATAGTTGGAAGAAGACTGTGTTTCTATTATTGGATGTTGTATTGTTTTATACAGTGGATGAACGTACCGTTGAGCTAAATAGAAAGGAGAAAAGAGAGGGAGAGAGTAACGGAAGGTAAGTACAACAGAACATGAGTGGAGGAGGTAGACTCGGAGTTGGTTAACTCCTAATAAAATGCACATAATCTAACACATCGTGGAGGTCAAAAAATTCTTTGCGAAAAGCGATTATAATCACGGTTTCATGCTGACCATATATACCAAAACCCAAGAGGTTCCAATCTTCGAATTCGGACCTATTTTTTGAGGAACAAATGGGGTGAATATCTTTCACCGGTACAAAAATCTACAATCAACACAAGAGAGGACAGTAAGAATAAGGTTCCAACAAAATTTACAGCTTTCTACCCCTTTTCTAATCCGCAAAGAACACATATGTATAGTGAATCAGAAAGCGAGCGGCCCAATTAACAACACTGTCGAAAGAATATCACAAGTTATACTTTGCCGGTACAGGAGCCACGCTATCTTGCGGTTGGCCTAGCCATGGAGTCACCCAGAGAAAGGAAATTGTCTGCTCCTCCGCCCATGTCCGTGTTGAGAGAAGAATGAGCTGACGTCCTCGACATGTCGTCCGAGACGCCTTCTCTGGTCGCCTTGGCTTCCCTCTCGATGGAGATGGCGTCTTGGACCTCCTTCAGAACTTCCGAAATGGAAGGTCTCATGTGGCCATGCGCCTGGACGCACATCAGAGCCTTCTCTGCTATCTTCCACATCGACTGAATGTCGTATTCGTCCCCCAGTATCGGGTCGATGATTCCTTGGATGTCGCCGCTCTCAATGTGTAGCTTTGCCTGCAGTAGCAGTGAAGGCAAAAGTATCATTTGATGTCTCATTTTGTCAATAGACGTACAGTATAGACGTTGTTGTACCAGCTGTTGGAATCGTAACTAAGCAGACTTAACGCACGTACCCATTGAACGATGTTACGGCAGTTAATGCCGAAGTTTTCATTGGATATGGCCTCTTGACCGGACATCAGCTCCAGGAGAATGACCCCAAAACTATACACATCGCTCTTGTCCGTTAGCTGCTGAGAGATATAGTACCTAAGCAATAAGCATCATGGAAAGCAAATATCATTAACAGAGTACTGCCAACATTACCGGTTTTCAGGTTTACATTCATTATGGTTTATGATCATAAACCGAAAACATAACAAGAAGGCGGAAGCCATAAATCACCAAAAATTAACTAAACAGATTATGAAAACGGCAAGAAATAACTGAATTTCAGCATATTCACCCAAGAACACAAGAAAAACCGGTCCATACCAATCCCTTTCAAAAGTGGAAAGTGAAGTTAGTAGTGGTACTAGCTACTTGATATCGCGGTTCGAGGATTGGTAGATTCCAAAGTCGTTTTTGCAGTTTTTGGTTTAGATTATGGGCTTAGCAGAACGGTTCAGTTACGAAATACACTGATCAACTGCTTCACAGGTTTCTGTTTTGGTACGGTTAACCGGGCCAAACTGGTTAGACACCCCTAGAACAGAATGGAAGAAAAGAAAATGGAAAGCAAGGAAGAAGCCCTTACTCAGGATCCAAATAGCCAACAGTGCCCCGAACGATGCTCGAGACATGAGAAGCCCCATCAGCCGCAATTTTCGAAAGGCCAAAATCTGACACCTTTGCTCTCATCTGTTTGTCAAGAAGAATATTGCTGGTCTTGAGATCCCTATGGATAATGGCCGGGACGCAACCCGTGTGAAGGTATTCAATCCCTGGCCATGATGAAAAAACCAAATAAGACCACAACTCGCACACCAATCGCTTAAAGCCAGCATTTAATATTAAAAAACAAGTAGTTCAAAGTGCAAGGGTTAAGTAACCTTTTGCTGCATCCTCAGCAATCTCTAGGCGCTGAATCCAATTGGTGTTTCTTCCCTGTATTAGAGGCCCTATTTAGAGGTTCAACAAAATGTGAGGATAAAGGCCAAGCTGATTCGGCATAAAAATGAGAGCACTTGAATGTCTACCATAAAGATGTTCCTTGAGAGTTCCACTGTGCATGTACTCATAAACAAGCATACTTTTGCCTTCTTCTTGACAACAACCCAGAAACTGCACCAAATTTCTGTGGTGTATCCTTGAGAGAAGAGTGACCTATATAATGGAGGCACACATCAATCAGTCCTATTGGTTGAAATCAATCCGAAAGATATTTTTAAAAAAAAAAAAAAAGCAAAGAAAGAAGACACAAACACCATACTCAATAATTGGAAGCTACCTCATTTACAAACTCTCGCTTTCCTTGATATGAATTGCTGGTTAGCACTTTAACAGCAATTTCCTTGTCATCCTTTGTTTTTCCATAATAAACAACGCCAAAACCTCCAGAGCCTATTTTCTTCTCGAAATTTTTGGTTGCTTCTATGATATCAGAGTAAGTAAAGTAATGTGCCCCTTCTGCAGTAGCATCACTTAAGCCAGAAACTACCTTCTGAACAGCCAAGGCTCCTTGTAGTTTGTCTAAAAGTACACTAGTGTCAGCAAGCTTTACCAAGATGCCAAACAGAATAAACACAACTTCAAACTATTTTGTTCCACATTTTACCTTGATCAGAATGCTTTTTCTTCCCTCTCTGCATAAATATCCAAGCTGCAATTAAGGCTATTAGCAGAACCGCTGCTCCCACTGATAAACCAATAATCATGCTCTTCTTTTTTGCTCTGCCACCCCCTTCATGAAGATTGATGTTTCCTGAATAACTGCATAAAAGTAGAGGTTTTCGGAAGGTTAGGAAATAACTTGTGGCTACTCGTAGCACATGTGTCTGTGTAAAAGAAAACTGTCATTTCATTTTTGTCGTTTTTCATTTTTACTAACAAAGTTATGTTATTCTTTGAGATTTATGAAAGAAGTATAACACGAAAAGTATCCCCAAACCCCCATTCTCCCAAGGTTACCGACTATTCTCCTTCTCCCCTATTCGGCTCCAATTTGTCTTCCAATCCCTAATCCCCAAATCTGTTCTTAATTATAATCCCTAATTCTACCCAATTTCCTCAAATCTTCTCGATTCTCTCCTATCCTATCTTGTTGCGAATAATCACGAGTGCCCCAATATCCGTGTTTTTCACAAGTTGTCACATAGAAACTTCTGGTTATTATATTCTATTGCTCTTTTTCTCATTCTCCTGAGACCAGAACATAATTCATCAGAAAATTTCTACCAATACACAATTAGAACAAGCCAAAATGATACTCACTTCAATTCTATATTTTTGTTAAGGAGGCCTGATGGTACTGTTCCAGATAACATATTGTTTTGCACGTGCCTGCAATGATCAAACAAGCCAAGTGCATCAAACCTTTGACAATTTATTTACTCTATAAAGGCTATTGGTATCAAAATGTTAGAAACCCCTCCAAATCCTGGTGAAGGATTATGGGATATTTGATGATTACAAGAAGAGGAATCATTTCCTGGTAAGATGAACTATATGTTGCCATCTTGAACCATCAAGGTTCGCAAATTATACTCTTTAGGTTGCAAACCAGAGACAAAAGACCAAAATAATTCCTACTGAAAGTTCTGATAACTTACAGCTCCCTCAGATTTGGAAGGTCTCCCAAATACGAAGGCAACTGGCCAGTCAACTGATTATTCTCCAGATGGCTACATGAAAACAAGGATCTAGTTAGCTTAAATACATTCATACAACCAAAATAACTAAATACTAAATGGATGATAGAGCTTAGCCAATTTACATGATCTCCAGGTTTGGACATCCACTAAAATCAGGAATCGGTCCAGTGAGTGAGTTCCCATCAAGCCATCTGTAAGCATTCGGCAGACAGATTTAGTCTAAGGTAAATGAGAGGCTTAAGCTACTTCTGTCGTAATGACAATCTAAAAGTCAGAATAGAACTCTGAAAACTCACAGTTCAACCAAGCCTGACAACTTTGTCAAATCTGAAGGAATGTTTCCAGTCAAATTCTTATCAGACAAGGAGCTGCCATGGAAATAAAGTTGTTAAGACTTGATGACCTAACAGTTTTCTTAGATCCCTAAAGGGGCTGGAAGTAACTTGCAGAAGAAGAAATGGTATTCTGCACATAGAAATAAGATAGACAAAGAAAAGTGTTTACATTTTAGTTATTCTTGGTCGTTCATCGGAGTTACACTGGACCCATGACCAAGGAACTGGAAGACACGGGTCACCACCTTCCTTTGCCCAATCCGCTAACGGGTTTAGGTAAACCACATTATTGATAACATCTCCTGAGTTCACACAGTATATAGCCAATAAAGGTTGTTAGCGTTGAATTGTACTGCCAAGAAAGCTTGCAAAGCTAATAAAAAGCATGGAGATTTTACATTTTTGCAGAAGTCTAAATAGATGTCAATAACAAATTATAGGTCCACCTACCATCTGGGGATCCATTATTGATCTCGAGATACTTGTTTATCTCCATGGCATTCAACAGCGGCCCCTTTGTTGAATCAGAAGTCCTACCAAATCTAAATGACAAAACAAAGGGGAGGGATATATTGGTATATCCTGGTTCATAGAGACGATATTTTCCTTGAGCATTCTCCTGGATGTTAACAATGGCTTTGCTCAGATCAGAGTTCCCTGGAAGTACTAGCCTGAACTTTCTGGATTCTTGAGGAAGCAAATCTTCAATTTCTGCAAGGTAGGTGAAAGCCCAACCATCACCAGGAAAACCATCCAGGTTCAACCGATAGGTTAGTGATCCATTGGTGCCAACTACAGCTGTCTGCATCACTTTCTCAGGAGGCATTTCATCTCTGTTTACAGCAATTGGCATCTTTGTGGACACTTTCCGGGTACCCGCAGCAACATCAACAAGATAGTTTGCTTTCTTCAGTGTGTCAGATTCCCATAGTCTATCAAATGGGTCATCAGGATACCTGAAGAACATAATTTTAGACGAGGAACGGTCAACAACAGACCTTCCATTGCAATTTTACCAAGGATGAAAACCTAAGTACTTTAACCATGCATATCCAATTACCACTCCTTCCAATCAATTTAAGCTGAGATGTAAACCCCCCCCCCCCCCCCCCCCCCCCTGCTATGATATATCGACCCCGAAGAGAGAATATCATCTATGGCCTCAACAACCAAAATAGAATGGAAAAGCTAAATAAAGGTCATCAAAGATATGAGTATATACCTGACCGGAGCTGCGCTATCTGCGCCAAAATTGATTCTGGCAGAGACACTGAGGTAAAACTGGTTTTCAGATGGTGTGTAATAAACGGAACCATTGAATTGTCGGAGCTCGAGGGTAGATATGAAAGGCCGGCCAGTTGTAGCATTGGATAAGCACACACTGATATTAGGAGTAGAAGCCAGAAATATGAGCTCTATAGACTCGACCGTGTTAGCGTCAGAAATAACAATGGTCGACCAGCGTGTTGCTCCAACTGAGACATCAAATTTTGGGTACACGTTGTTGCTGTTGTCGAAGTTACCATACAGGAAAGTCGCTCTCAACAGATACCTCGTCCTGCTTGTGACACCTAATGTGTAACAATACTTCCTCGAATCAGCAGGGAAATGCCTCAGCGTCGTGTATTGCCTCCTTGTCTCATTTGCAACCGATATGTTTGTGGTTTCTCCAAACATAAGGCCGTCGTCAGACGACCATTGCAGCCCAAGCTCATCGGTATAATTTCCGTTACCCCCGCAATCCAAACTCACAAAACCTGTTTCACATGTCTCAACATGTTAATATATACAACGATTCCTCACTTTTAACAGAAAAATAAACTTGCAAAGATTACCCATAAGAGTTTTTCAAAAGAAGGAGCTTCAGCCATAACTCTAAAGATGCCAGCTTATTATAGCCAAACAAGCTCACCCGAATTCAAATTCGACAAAAGCCGGACAAAAATACTTGAATTCCAGTTGACAGCTCTACTTCCAGGTTGAGATGATGCCTACCTCCATCACATTTCAGTTATAATCTAAGTTGCAACCTGCTAACTACACGTTTAGACCTATACATCCAATTCGAGCTCTGGAGTAACATCAAATTGGGAAACAAGGGGCAAAAAATAGGAACAGAATCCGCACACTAAACAGCTCGTGAAAACATTTCTTCCCCACTCTGGAAATTGGGCATCATTTAAGAACTTGCGGATAGAAGCAATAAATGAAGGCGAGTTGGACAACCAATTTTACAGAAGAGATTGCGGAAATTAGACAGTACAGTACTGGACACTTCCGTTTCACCAACCACTTCCGCTACTACTACTACCACTACAGTTTTCCTTATCAGGTCAAAGATTCAAAGAAACCCGTCAAAATCAAACTAATTCCGGCCCCGTTCTCTTCTCTTTCCTGCAGGTCACGATAAGCTACAAGGGGGGAAATCGTGAACTGGCTGACAATTCAGCTCCCTCGTTACCCCTCTTTGTCAACTCACGTTGACTCGGTCGCCGGCGACAAAACAAGAGAGTATAACCGCGTAGCCAGGGCAATCAAGAGCGCAGAGGAAATAAAGGGAAGAAAGCAAGCAGTGGGGGGAGGAAAGTTGGCGAACCTGGCTTCTGAGCTGAGGCGTGGCGTGGAAGAAGAAGAAGTGAAGAGAAAAGGACTAGGCAGAGGAGCAAAAGCCGCTCCGTCGCCATCTCCGACGGCGGCAACTGATTCGAAGACGAATTAGATGGAGATGATGGGTGAAGCGTCGACCGAATATGTACAAAGAAAAGAAACACACAGCCGAAAAAGCGAGCGAAACCAACGAAGCAGTGTCTACTGCTAAGTGCTAACCCTCTCTCTTTCTCTCTCTCGCTCTAACCCTATCTGTGCACAGAGAACAGAGATTACAGAGGTGAAGGGAATGTCATGAAAAAAGTAGTCGAAGAAGAAAGAAAATATTATTGTTAATCATCCATTGGTAAAGTTGGCCGGAAAGAAAGAGGGAAAAGCATTGCATTACTTACTACCGGAGATGGTTTCCGTTTTTTCAATCGTCCATTTGATTCCATTGATCCAATCCTAACCACGTCTTAATTTTTTTGAAATGGAAAATCAGTTTTAAATTTTAATTTGATGTTTGTTAGTTTTTTTTTTTCTCTAGTTGAATTAGTTATTCATTTTAATAATTAAGACAATCAACTTTTTTCCGCAAGTTGATGGGTTTTCTTGCTAAATTACCTTCGACCTAATTTTGTTTCAGGACTTTCTTTTTGAGTATTGGACTTTTATTTTGGGTGGATATCATGTTTGCTTGGAATTTTATTTTAATTGTTACGTTAGTTTTTAATAATAATTTTTTTTAATTATCATATCACTTGTTTAACAGTCAACTATGATAGTTGATCGGTACGCTACTTCATTGTTTTAGACATTAAAAATGTTGAGAAAAAATTACTTGAACATACACTAAGATTACCCAACCTGAATTATAATTTTTATTTATGTTTCATTTTATTGGTTTTTACACTCTCTTTGTCGACTTGAACTTTTAGTAAATAAAAAGTTATGATTTCTTTTGTGAGATATTTGAATTGGTTTGTTAGAACTTTGGTGATGGATGATATGAATTTGAAATTATTTCCGGTTAGTAATAAGTTCATTTCTAAATTGGTGTATTATATATGTCTTGTATGTTATAGCTCATAATAGTATATCATCAGTTAATCAATGCTTCTATAACGATTAACCATAAACCACTAATTTTTCAGTCCATATTTGATCGGTTTCTGAAAACATATCATGTAAAATATTTTTCTTTTAACTTATGTTTTCACCGATAAGTAGCTAGTTAATTATTTTTACTAAGCACAACAATATGTTAAAACTTAAAAGAAACAAGAGTCGAAAAACACCATAAAAGCGGCTCACGGCCCTTCCCGCCGAAGTTGTACATAGAAGAACACCATGATAGTCGAGGAAGAAATAAAAAATACTCAAGTTATAAAGGTCGTACTGGTGTACTTCTGGAGTATATTATACTTCAAGTACCCTTAGTGAGATATCTATATCTCGAGCATGAGTTTAACCGACTTTGGGGTATGATAATATACCCTAACCTCTAATTGACAAACCACAGGCCCGGTTCTCTAAATTCAAACCCGAAATTCAATTTAATGGAAAATTTAAATTGATCGTTGAGATGGTCGGAGGTCAACAAAGTACATCTAACGGTTAGATCATGTGGAGTATACTATATCACTGGAGTATACCAGTTTTTACCCAAGTTATAAAACAAAATTCCCACAATACACAGTTTCAAAAAAAAATCTCAAAATACGCAAATCTGGAGCAGTTCTCTCTAGTGTCAAGCGAAGTAGGTAGTGGTTCGCTTGACGCTGGAGCGAACCACATCTGAAGGGGCCGGATTACGACTGAAAAACAAAAAACAAAACAGTACGGTTCGTGGCTGACCCTAACAAACCAGCAATATAGCTAGCCCGAGTATCTACTCCTAATCTAGCTTCAGAACTGCAAATGATCGTAACTTTGCACTCGGTTATCCGATCGTTTGTTGCAAAAAATGACGTTTGTTACCCCAAATGGTCATTTTTTATTTCGTTAAATTTTAAAAATCATAATTCGTGCTCCGCAGTCTGATCATCACAATTTTTTTATTGTGCTTAAATTTTTAAAGACTACAAATTTTTCTATAGAAATTTTTTCATAATGTATGTGGAAATGTGAAAAATAAATGTAAAGCCATTTTCAAAACTCCTTAATTCCAAAAAAAAAAAAATGTCTTCTCTTGGAACTTTCTTCCTAAAAAGTTGTAGAACTTGAAAACTTAAGCAGAATAAAAAAAAATCACGACGGACGAATCACCAAGTGCAAAGTTATGATTGTTTGAAGTTCTTAACCTAAATTAGAAGTAGATCGCGGGGCTGCTGAGCAGCGATCTGGGTGGTTTACCAGGATCAACCGCGAACCGTAATGATTTTTTTGGCTGGCCAATTGTTTCGGCCACGATTTGGTTCTTTCATATGTGGTTCGCTCTAATGTCAAGCGAACCTCAACCTAGTTCAAAGAATACGATCCTTAGGAAGTAAGTAACCAGTCCAGAGAACATGCCACCAGGGGAGCAATGATTGTTTAGCATGAATACTATTACAAACCAACTTCGCAAAATCAATTATTTCATCGCATGTATCGTCCTCCTGTACTAATTCATACATCCAAAATTAAAGCTAATCTCTATTCTTCCAAATTAGAGGTTAAGAAACAAATTTCCCAACTAATAAAAGTCGTCCTCCATCCAGAAGAAGCTTTGTTTGGTGTTCGTATCCAGCGGGGTTTTAGTTCATTTTTACCCTCTTTTTTTCTTTTTTTCTTTTCGGTTCGTTTTGGGCTCTTACCCTTTGTTGGCTTTTGTTAAAGATGGGATCTTTGTCGTAACTTTGCAAAAGGGAAAGAGACGAGATCAGCTTTATATCTCCCCTCTTCCCTCCCACTATGCACATGAACAACACGTCCCAAACTCTACCCTTCTCTTTATAATTTGGAACCTTCAAATTTATAAATGTATAAGCTAGGCTGGACTCTCTCATGTTATCGTTCTGTTCCATGATTGTTCTGTTAATATTTATGTAGATATATGTTGGTTAAATCGCGCTGTGAGAATCCGGAGTTGAAATACATATTTGAGTGTGGTTTTTAGAGTCAACCTCACACAGTGTGAAATTTGGGTACAAATACTACGGTTGAAAGAAAAGAAACATGGTAATTGGAATGTGTTTTTCTCCAAATACTACAAATGTGGCGAATAAAAATACTAGGGGGGAGGTCTAGTATTTGTGAAATATCATGATGTTTTATTTTTTTTATTCACATTCTGTCCTCCTCGTTTTTATATAAATCCGAAAATAGTTTTGTTATTCTTCCCAACTTTGATGTGAAGGTTTTCTTCAGTTACATCTCGGCGAATTCATCTTCGCATTCTTCTTGTTTGTCATCTTTCCACGGCTTCCAATGAGTCTAATGAGCTCTTATTTTGATTCATTTCTCGATTGTTAGTCAGAGACCCGTCCGGGCTAATAATTACCATAGTCATCGACATCTTTTTTGCGCTCACTTTTGCCGTATACAGCGGTATAGAAGTCTCTGAGAACGCGTAACCTCGAATCTATGTTTTCACAGGATTAGAAAAGTAGAAGGTTGATTTTTTTATTTCTTTAATAAGAAAAGAGTAAATGGATACTTAACCAATTTGGAGTGAAATACCACAACCATAATACCATGTTTTAACCCCTATCAAATATTATATAAGAAGAAATCACACATATCAAATATTATGATATTGTTAAAAAATAAAAATGATCTACAAATTCTATGATTACACAATATATTATTTTGGTAAATTTCATACAAGATGTTAATTAATTAATTAATAAATATAAAGGTTAAGTATTGTTATTGTTCATTAACTTTCCATAGAGGTTTGCTAAAGTACACTACTCTTATTTAGTTTAGTAACCTATCAACTAATGGAACCAAACAAATTAGTATTATTCAAAAAAGTCATTAATTTGTTGAGCTACCCTTTAACATAGATTTTTATCTTAGAGTGTCGCACGTAGCATAGCTTTCACCACTGGATCTTGAACCAAGGGAAATTTTTTTTTATCTTTGTCCAATTATATTGTATGTTCTCCTGACATACTACTCAAATATGGGAACAACAATGAACTCAACCATATAAAATAGATGTACCACTTTTTAAATACTTTTGTGGTTTTTCCAAATAATTATTATTTCAATCTGTTAGCTCACTTAATCATATAAAGCAACATATCATGAAAATGTCAGACACACAAGTTAGCAACACATGCCTATAAGCGATGATCCAAATCTCAACTACAACCTAGTGCTTTATGCTTTTTCTTAATGTGCTTCTCGGTGGAGCATGGCATTGGATCTATGCATAACAAATGGTTTTTCTGCATTGGCATTACTTACCCAACCTTTTTTATTACAAAAATTATATTTTGGCCATTTTTCATGTACTTCTCGATCTCGACACACCTCTTGATTTAAGAACAATTATTGGAATTGAAGAGTTATAAGCTTTGTGGTGTAATTATGAGATCCTTTCTAGGTGCTCATCTTACTTACCCAACCTTTTTTATTACAAAAATTATATTTTGGCCATTTTTCATGTACTTCTCGATCTCGACACACCTCTTGATTTAAGAATAATTATTGGAATTGAAGAGTTATAAGCTTTGTGGTGTCATTATGAGATCCTTCCTAGGCGCTCATCTTTCTTTCGATGAAAGACAATTATAAGCCATTATTTCATGCATTATTTGATGTGCTTATTAACAGTTTTGTGTGGAAAACAATATTAGAATATTAGAGTAAGTGAAAAGGCAATAGGAAAATGATATAGAAGAGATATCTTATATTTATATTAGTGTGTTTTTTCAGTTCCTACTCGTTGGACGATAATGGTCCTCTGATTTTTCTAATCACGATTAATTTCTAGTTACTATTTAAATATATAACAACTAATTTAATGTTCCGTGTAATAGTAGTATCAGTTTAGAATCATGTGGTCAGTCGCCCTCACCCTTAGCACCAATTTATTTGGATAATGTATATTTTTTATCCAAACCTTTTTCATATTCTTTTATATTATTCAACCTATTAAAAAATGCTATTATTTAGCCAAATCTTTCGTAATGTATCAAAATATTAGTCATTTTTACTTTATCGTTAATAATTTTGTAACTAATTCTTAGTGAAAATACTAAAATTTTGGAATGCTGAGCTTCATGTGTCTCTTCCAAGTCAGTATCATATTGCTAAGTCAATATTACTAACAAAATTGCTAACTGAAAGTTAACATTTAGCTCATTCTTAGTATTTCAATAAATTTGACTAATTAAAAAAATCTGAAAAAAATTTGACTAATAAATACTCGTTCCCCCAATTTATTTCAAAACAAATTCTGCTTGCCAGATGTTGCTACTTTTCTTCTAGTTTACGTCTCTAAAAAGTTAATAGAAAGTCAAACTCGGTGGTTCACTTTTTTTTTTAAAAGCTTCTTCAATTTTAAGTTTTAGTCCAAATAGATACACTTATTCCATAAAATAAAATAAATACACTTTTAAAATTTTCTCAACTTTGGATTATTGTCATTACACTTTTAGAGTATTTGGATAATTTAGAACTCTAGGTATGAAGGATTGATTGCGACTATGTGAGATTTCTTGTCAATACAATTGATTTGTAGTACTTCAATGTTATCATCCCATGCGTTTTTTTTACCAAGAATCACATCCAAAATCATTACCCATGGGACATCAGTTACAGTATGTAACATATTGCAAGAGTGGTGAAATAATCCTAAGAATTGTCATCCAATCTGGAGGGAGTAAATTCCTAGCTAACAATTTGGCTACCCAATCCGTTCTCTTGTTTAGCTTGCGTCCGAAGAAAGCCACCTTGATAAAGCCGTTGCACATAAGGATGTCTTGGATAATCTCTCGCCACACAGAAACTCTCCATGGCCATGCAGGAAGGTCAGATGCAAGGGCAAGAATCAGAGTGAGAATCCGAACGGACAAGAAATTTGATTTGTTTTTGGGTGAAACTAGGCACAGACAACTCTCCCAATCGATCACCAATCGGTTGGACTAGTTAGACTTTTCAAGAGAGAAATATATAGAACTCATAGTAGCCTATCATATATAATAAACGTTTAGCATAATATAGTATTTTTTGGTCATCATATCTAGGAGGAATATAATATGATTAATCACCTTTGACTTCTGTTTTGTTCCTCTTTAGCCATTGCTTACTTAGTTAAAATAGTTTGAAATATAATATGATTAATCATCTTTGACTTCTGTTTTCAAATTTTCTTCTCCTTCAATTTTCTCATAATTCGTCATGCCATACTATTCCTCGTCTTATTTGTCAACTTTTTTCGTCTCAACATTGAGACTAACACAGGATCTAATGAAGAAACTAAACACATAAAATTATCAACTTCAATGATTTCTCAAAATTGCCAACTAAAGCATGTTTTTGTTTTTCATGGTATTGTGTTTGTACTTTTATTGTCACAACAATACCGGAACACATTACACATACGACAATAAAAGTGTAGGCAACATAGAAGGTTTTATCAAGTTGGGCTCCGCAAACTATAATCATTAGATCAACTAGTGCCCTCTAAAGGATTTTAGCTCGCAAGTTAACCTCAAGGAGCCACATAGTCAAACTAGTTCGAGAGCTTTAAACAAATATCACGAGTTGAGCTCAACACACGTCACTGACTGAGCATAACTAGGTCAAAGTTTGCCTCGTTAATCCCAAATTAACTCGTTGAATTACGATTTAAATGACAACTTCATTTTTATCCTTTTGCCTGTGAAGTAACACTTGCTACTTTTTAATTTTTTTTTTTTATCATTTTGCCTGTTTCGTGTTATTTCTAGACTCTACTCCAGAATCGACACCCGGAAAGTGTCAGAAAGCTCTCTCTCTAAACTGTACATAAATTAATCATTAAAACAAAATTGACGCTGACTGGGATTTCTGGAACCAACTTAATTTTTGTTACTTGCTAGAAAGCTCCTCCATCCAATCGACTAACTATGTGCGTCCTATTATTTAACAGCGAAGCTTCGGCGTTGGCTTTCTTCAGTACTAGACCTAGTGACAGGCTGGCAGCGCTCCCGAAAATTGCGCCGGCAAAGGATACAGAGAATCCCGGCTCCGGCGACGAGGATGGCGGAGGAGAAGCTTTACCCGGAAGCGAGTTGGGAGTACGAGAATGCGGTGGCGAAATGCAAACGGAAGCTCAGAGGCCTCGTCGCCGAGAAGCACTGTGCTCCAATCGTCCTCCGATTAGCGTACTGATTAATACATATTTCTCATTCGGTAATCAAGCAGTGATTTGCTTGCATTTATTTTTATAATTAAAAATTAAATAAATGTGTAACGGGCAGATGGCACTCTGCTGGAACGTTCGACGTTGAGACGAAGACGGGCGGGCCGTTTGGGACAATCAGGCATGGGGAGGAGCTAGCCCACGAAGCCAATAGTGGGCTGGACATAGCAGTTGGGCTTTTAGAGCCCATCAAGGCCCAGTTCCCCATCTTGACCTACGCTGACTTCTACCAGGTTCGTTCGGGGTCCTTGACCACTTGATTTTGTGGTGTTAATAATAAGCGGTATTAAAATTAAATTAAACTCTCATTTTTTATTTTGTGGTGAAATTCAGTTGGCCGGAGTTGTGGCCGTGGAGATCACCGGAGGGCCAGAGATTCCTTTCCATCCCGGAAGACCAGTTTGTGACTTTCCCCTGATTTAGATATTGAATTTGCGTTTTGAAGGAAAAATCTAAATTGAGATTTTACACGTTGTTATGATTGATATGTTATGTTGCTTTCAGGATAAATCTGAACCCCCACCAGAGGGACGCTTGCCTCAGGCTACTCAAGGTAAATTAATTGTCTTTCATTTGCAGTAAAATTGTGTTTTCTTACTCATATCGTATGTGCGGTAAAAAACTATAATTATCCTCTCACAGGCCCGGCCCATTTGAGGGATGTGTTTTACCGGATGGGCCTTTGCGACAAAGACATAGTTGCTCTGTCCGGTGGCCACACTCTGGTATTATTATTATTAATTATTATTATTATTATTATTATTATTATTATTATTATTATTATTATTATTATTAAGGCTGAGTATGAATGTGATGATATGTATTATGTACAGGGAAGGTGCCATAAGGAAAGGTCTGGGTTTGAAGGGCCTTGGACCTGCAATCCTTTGATCTTTGATAATTCATATTTCAGGCAAGATCTTCTCTCAACTGAAGCTCATAATGCCATGCACAATCAAAAGCAATTGGCTTATGCATTTTCATCAATTCATTATTGTAGGGAACTTTTGAGTGGGGAGAAACAAGGCTTGATTCAGCTTCCAACCGACAAAGCTCTTTTGGAGGATCCAACATTCCGTTCTATTGTTCATAAATATGCGGCCGTGAGTCGCTCGCTACTACTCAATATTTATTTTTATGACGATGTCGCTTCGTTTACACATGGTTTCATACTTAGTAGTAAACCGCTAATCCCTTTGAAATTTCTTTTATTCATTTCAGGACGAAGATGTTTTCTTTGAAGATTATGCGAATGCTCATTTGAAACTCTCGGAGCTCGGGTGCGATTCAGATACTTTGCTCGAAATTTCATTGTACTTTTTTCTATTACTAGTTCTTTTGCACTGAATCATACATTTCTTTGTTTTCAGGTGGCCTTGATAATGTCAAAGAGCGAGAGATGAAACACAAGCCTATGCTCAGTGGAACGAATTACTATCTATGATTTGCAGTTGTAAACTTTGTACTATCCTACCACTTCTATGTTGAGTTGAATAATGGCAAGCAATATCACAGACCAGAGTATGTTACTTTGGCTTATGGAACGGTACTTTTGTCTTTCAACACCTTTTTCCTATATCCAAACTGCAACTTAGAGCTGTAAAATTTCGACTGGACTATGGAATAAGTGAGCTTAAACGTTCTAGTCTGGCAAGGCAAACAAGGACCCAAAGACTTAAAAACTCACAAACTACTTCAACCTGCAATATTATCGGATAGGATTCATGCTATTTGCTACAAACCAACACAGTGCTATACCGTCACGCTTGTATTTAAGCATATCCAACAAAACCACAAACAACCAGACTTAAAATGACATTTTTGCTGGAGTAGTAACAAACAGCCATCAAAACCTCCCCAACAAAAATGTGCCTTCAATCCAAACTTTCTTCAAAGGTCTTGCACGCTCAAACCTGCAACAAACATACAAAAATAAAGACCATGATTCAGACCAAGTTTAAAATATATATCCATCGGGCACTCAATTCTCAGATAGGAGGGAACAATATAGCTCTACTTAGCGTATGGGTTTTCAGGGAAACACACGCATCAGTAAACATAGGAATACAACAATGAGATATATCGAATCCACAGCACAGGGGTGAAAAGCATCATTACCCGGGGGAAGAGACTGCTTCAACTTGTCAGCCTTCTCGTTGTCGAAAACGCACAGGGTGTAGAGGTACTTCGAGCACCGGACCTTGAACTTCACCACGTCTTTGCTCCTCTTGATCTTCACAGAACGAGCATCCTTCCTCCTAGCTGTGAGGAGAAAGTCCTTGATCTCATGAATCTGCTTCGGCTGTTCAACACCAAGCAAATCAGTAAATACCAAACCAAGAAAATAGATGGCGAAATATTACCAAGAATTGTCCACTATTACTGCACCAAACAACCACCACTTACAAATAACAAACAAAGGAACAAGCTCAAAACACATCTAACAGTCGATCAAGTTCAACAGCTGAACTTAGATAAACCATATAGCACCCAGATGTAACAGAAGCTATCAAATCCAGGAAGGTTATGCCATGGGGATAGATCTGTAACGATGGGCGCCAACTTCCATCTACCAGACTCGTAACAGTATCAACCAAAATGCATCAAGGTCAACACCTGACTGGAGTCTGGGGATTTCATGTGAACCCTTGACACTAGTAACAAAGGCCAATCTTATTAACTTTTAGTTTGCAAGACCGAAAGGGGCTACTATAGAAGCTCCCTAGTTTCAAATATGAAGAGTAGCTCCGAATGGCTACCTAGCATTAAGCCTAAACCGCAAAATGCTTATCTGAGAGTGGCTCCTTGAGCATTAATACCCACGTTTGGTTTCTGAAAATAGCACAGCCAATAGGCAAAAGGACCCTAACTAACGGGGCTAAATCAAACCTCAGCAACTGGGATTAGAAAGTATTGAAAAATGTATATACTATTTAGCACCCAGATGTAACAGAGGCTATCAGTTCCAGGCAGGTCATGCCATGGGATAATTCTGTAACGATGGGAGCCAACCTTCATTTGCCAGTCTCGTAACAGTACCGATCGGAATTATCAAGATCGACACCTGACTAGAGTCTGGGGTTTCATTCTGACCTTAACCCAAATCCTTTTTAACACTCATACTCTGATGTACCAATGAGCTATTAGAGTAGTTCTCTGATATCGTCTGTAAATCTAGCGGCTACAGATACCAACCGAAACACAGAATAGGAAAAATCGGGGAAGATAAATAACCATTCTCACGAAACAGCGGAATTCATCAGTAATGGCTGCTAATTCGAGGAGTTGATAAGCCTTTACCATTTTGTTCGCCGAGCTGAGCTTCCTCTGGCTGCTGCTTCTCCGTTCGAGGAAGAAAACTAATAGGATGAGTGAGGCTGCTGAGAATTAAGATTATATATACCACGCGACGATGGAGTAAACCCTAAAGGCCTATGGACCCCAAATACTTATTTTGGGCCTTATGCGTTCTGAGCCTACTTGCAGGAAATCGTTTTTGATATGGACCGTTAATGGAGCTTAAGCCTGGGTTCTATTAGTGGACTCAAGCTACTGCGATCAACTAAACTTATGGTCGTGGGTACCCGACCGCCTCCGATCCAGTCAACATAGGGAATCCCCATTTTGAGTAATGAGGCATATATGAGAAAAACTCGTAAAAAATTGATGGGTATGGGGCAGGTATGGTTTTGGACTCTCACGCCGCATACCCATACCCGAACCCGTCCCACTAAAGATATTATGTTATATGCATAAAATATAAGGAATTTATTGTAACTTGTCAATGGAATGAAGGGAAATAAAAGGAACAAATAAAGTGTTAAAATGTAATTGATTGCAACCAAATCGTAGTAATTTTCATTCTCTTATGTTTTAGTTCCATATTTTTGGACGGGTAGTATTCATATTTGTCATCATATTCTTTTATTAATGGTGAGTAATTAATGGGCAGGTATTACCCATGGGTATTTGAAAATCGCAGATATGGGGATGAGTTTGAAAACCTTCCACCGCATTGGTATGGGGTGGGTATGAGTTTTTTGGTATTTGGAAATGGAGATAGGGTTGGTTTAGGCAAGCCCGCCCCATTGACATCCCTACTGCGATCCCATAAGATGCTATTGAGGTTAGAATTTTTTTTATTTTTATTAAACCATATGTATGCTTACTATTGAGTTAGTGCATTACAGTCCAAAGATTTTAACAGAAACATGGGTGGTATGTCTACCCAGATTCCCGAGCCACCCAGTGGCAATCAACATGGCCATGGCATTGCAGCCAAAAATGAGATTCTACTAAGAAGCGTTTTGGTGAGCTAGAAGCGTAAAACTGTAAGATTTTAAGTTTTAAAACGTAGATTTTGACTACACTTGCTAAGAAAAAAGTGCGATTCAATGTAGAAATATTTTGGTAACCTAAAAGGATAAAAAAACGTAAAGTTTTAAGTTTTAAAACACGATTTTAACTGCATTTTACCATGGTATGGGCCGCCCCAGTTACAAGTTCGCTTGGCAAATTGCCACTTGATCGGCCCCAATCAACTTGCTTACTATTGAGTTAGTGCATTACAGTCCAAAGATTTTAACAGAAACATGGGTGGTATGTCTACCCAGATTCCCGAGCCACCCAGTGGCAATCAACATGGGCCATGGCATTGGAGCCAAAAATGAGATTCTACTAAGAAGCGTTTTGGTGAGCTGGAAGCGTAAAACTGTAAGATTTTAAGTTTTAAAACGTAGATTTTGACTACACTTGCTAAGGAAAAGTGTGATTCTACGTAGAAGCATTTTGGTAACCTAAAAAGGTAAAAACGTAAACTTTTAAGTTTTAAAGCACGATTTTAACTGCATTTTACCATGGTATGGGCCGCCCCAGTTACAAGTTCGCTTGGCAAATTGCCACTTGATCGGCCCCAATCAACTTGCTTACTATTGAGTTAGTGCATTACAGTCCAAAGATTTTAACAGAAACATGGGTGGTATGTCTACCCAGATTCCCGAGCCTCCCAGTGGCAATCAACATGGGCCATGGCATTGCAGTCAAAAGTGAGATTCTACTTAGAAGTGTTTTGGTGAGCTAGAAGCGTAAAATTGTAAGATTTTAAGTTTTAAAACGTAGATTTTGACTACACTTGTAAAGGAAAAAATGTGATTCTACGTAAAAGCGTTTTGGTAACCTAAAAAGGTAAAAACGTAAATTTTTAATTTTTAAAGCGCGATTTTAACTGCATTTCACCACGGGCCGCCCCCAGTTACAAGTTCGCTCGGCAAATTGTCACTTGATCGGCCCCAATCAACTTGCTGCTGCATCCCGGATCTCTTTCACCCGATTTCCAATCTCAGTCCTCTTTGCCTCCATCCTCAACAGCTTTCTTAATCGCATTTCTGCAATCCGAATCAACGATCGCCTGTCTCATAGCCTCCCCTTCCATTAATTGAAGACTCCAGTCAATCGCCTTGAGCTCAACAAGTACCTCCGCCACCAAACACAACAACATCAAGGCTTTCCATCCAATTAGGGTTTCAATTCTGGGTGTCTTGGAGAAGTAGTAAGATCTGCTTGGATAATGGATACTAATAGAATTAGCCAGACTTGGTAATTCAAGCTTTGATCATGATTGTACTAAGATTTTTCTGTAGCTAACACAAAGTAGTTCAACAACTTGTTTTGCTTTAATAAACCTGTAATAGACTTGTTGTATATCCCCAATTTAGGGATTACCTTGAGCTCTTAATGAAATTATTGAAACCAATCTTGAGGCCACTTGATTTTGAGACCAACGTACGGCTGGTTTGGGTAATCTTATATATATAACATGTCCCTCCCTGCACTGCAGCCTGCATCTGCATGCCTGTGCTGCTGGAAATTGGCACGATTTCATGCATCCAGAATTCCTCCTTCAATCAACGCATGGGACATCATATTACCACAGGAGAGAATGACTGATCAATGCAAGGGCAGAGCACCCTTTTGCCTTCCAGCCCCAATCTATACGTATAAGTAGCGTGAAAGTCACCTCATCATCACACTTTACTATACATCTCATTCATGAAAAAAAGGAGCCACTTTCTTGACTTCCAGACAATTATACGGATTCAACAAACGTATATCAACGCCATTGAGAGACGAATAGCATGTGGTTAAAAGGACGCCCCGCTAGCTAATATGATGGTGGGTGAATTGGCGATGGTGACAATTCAATTATTACCAGAGGACTACACGTGTAAGGAACCCAGAGAGGACACATATGTTTGTCCCTGGGGTAAAAAAGGCCCCGCTCCCCCGCCAGCTTTCCAACTGTGTGTAAAAAAGGCGTTGTGAAAACGATGGGTCGATTTCGTATGACTGTTCATCATTCTGTCGGCCGAGATACATAGATATGCTTTGCTGCTGGCAGGGCAGGCTGGCTCTGGTATTGCAATGTCTTCTTTAGAACCGGAGGGACTATTGGGTGTGTGGCTCCTCTTCACATATGAATGGCTTGGGTGCCTAAACGATTGATCAATGTCTTCTTCTCCCTTCCTTCCACGTTTCAATGCTAAAAAAAGCATAGGGGAAGGCTACAAGAGAGGGGGGCAAATGTAAATGTATTTTGCTCTATCCGTTCCTTTTTTCGGATGGTAATTTCAATCCGTTTGTTGAGTATTATGATTCTTGTAAGACCGACATTATCCGATTTATAATAGTATAGAATATAATGGAGCATGGCTATGAGTACGACTCTCTCTTGTCTTATTCTTGACTCGTTTTGTTTTTTATTAAACTCAATATTTATGTGAGAATAACTCAACTTATCTTAATCAATATACCCATATGGTATGGGTATCATCTGATATGACCCGTGCTCAGTAGTGGAGACAGGATTTGAAACTACACATATTCTCTATTTAAAATACAAACAAATAAATTTAAAATTTAATAAATTTAATTAAAATTAATAATACCCAAATAATTCATTCATAGAGAACACAAAAAACTGACTAATACATTTATTGTGTGTATAAATAACCACGACGAGTTTTCATATAATGAAAGAAATGCAAAATACATTCATTGTTTACACTCTTAAGTGAGTCGTTTACAATGTATCCCATAAAATAATCGTTAACATCCCCTATCAATCAGGGTTGTGCACCTCTATCTTGAGTAGTACCATTATGCACTATGGTGCTCTCTTTCTCTATGGTAATCACAATATCAATCGAAGTTGCACACATTAGGTGCTCACGCATCAACCCGAACCATCATATGAGGTACCCTTTATCATTGACAACAACCAACAAGTTCTTAAGTGATTTATTTAGCTTTGTGAACGTTGTGGTTGAGTGCCTAAGAATTCGAAGCAGCTCAAGTTTGCTCTATGGCACTGCTTGAGGGGCAAGTGTGGTCTTATGTGAACCCCCTTTTAGCTTCCTCCATTTTCTTTGATGCCTTTCTAACCACCTACAACCAAGGTTTTTTCGAGCATTATCACCTTCTGCACCATTCTGTCAAGTTCCTTGATGGTCTAAATGTCCCTTTCAGAGAAGGGGCGACACAAATCCTCACTCACCGTACATTCTTCAAACAGAATCCCATTACTGGGGGTTGGATGTCTTTAATTGTCATGGCCATGAATACCCTTCATAGAAATCTCTTAGCATCTCACCTTACTTTTGTCTGGCCTTAAAGAGTACACCTATAATTAGCTTCTGGCGCTTTCAACTTGTGAACTTGGAGAGGAACAATGTGTGAGCTTCTCAAAACAGTCTATGAATCCCTCTTCGACATGGTGATACGATTCGAGGATGTCAGTGAAGAAGGTAGAGATAAAATCTCTACATAGCGTGACATTAGAGATATTATAGAGATGCATATGGTGAAGTAATTGTTGAGGTGATCTTTGAGGTTTATCATCCCATCATAGGTGGGAAGCAGTATGTTGGTCCCACTTGGTTCAATGAAGGCGCCTATGGCTAGCAGTTGTCTCACGCCCAAGCATTTTAGTGACGTTCTACTCAATGTGACAATAATAAAATTGGAAGTCAGATGCTATATTGGATAATTGAGAGTGTTCAAGTTCCTCCACCGCTCGATCCCTTCTCACCGTCTACTAAAACTCCATCAATAAATTACAATATTGTTATCCTCCGTCTTTTCGCCACATCTACTCAATGGTCGCCGATGACATACGATCGATCCAGTAACGTCAAACGTCTGTAAGCACGTCCTCACAAAGGACACGCGAGCACCGTAATCTGATAATCTGGGTTGGTCAATTGGTGTGATAAGAAAAATTGGTTTAATTAATGCAGTAAAAGACAAGCTACACATCAAGTAGCCAACATGAACAAAATTCTCTCTGTTTGCTGTCCTGCCCGATAAAAGAAAAATCGTTATTAATGCAATGGTCAGTCTAGTAAGTAATATCACATCACATTCACACCCTTAAAACAGAGTCTAACTTGGATTAAATCGATGTAGAAGAAAGAAGTAGGGGTGACTGCCAACTGTGGGCTCTGTTTTCTGTTTGATTAGCCTGGTTCCGCAGCTGTACTGTAGTGTTTGCTGGGTAATTGAAATTTGGGCAACAATTCTCAAAGTCGCCATCAATTATTCCACTGTGTGTTCTTTCTTTTTTTTTTTTCTAGTCCTTTTACTGGCACTGTTGATACGTTGAAAGGTACAACAGCCTTTTGCATGCCACACAGTCATACCAACGATTTCATAATAATAATGCTTGGAGAAAAATAGCTTTTTTCTGCTGGTCCACAAAGATCTTTTCCCCTATTAATTCAAACATAGGATTTGTAATTTTGTGCTACTTATTTTAGTTGAGTCATTGGTAATAATGATGGAGGTTTATCTTGGTCGTGTCGATAGTCTTTGATTATAGAAAAAAAAAAAAACAAGAAACCACCCTTTTCATTTTCTTTTGTTATAAGGAATTTGTAGCTTGTAAATGGTTGGTAATAAATTTCTATAAGCTTAGATAAATGGATTTGCAAATTGCAAGTTTCAATTTATCTATTAAAGCCTCATTACTCACTGTTAGACAATATTTCAGTGATCAACGGGCAACTCTGAGTATGTGACACAAACAACATTTCCGATGGGCACAGTAGTATATTGTGAAACCAATATCCTAGCATTGTTTGAGTGTTGTCACCAAATAATTTTTGGTTAACTGACTAGCACGGGATTAAGAGCATTTTTTGTTTTGTTTTGCAAATTCTGCTTATTGGAATGCTTCGATCTACCACCACCATTGCATGCACAAATGCAGATGATGAGCTCGGTTTTGGCTGTTCCCCCAACTTTTCAGAGACGAGACTTAGGTCACCCAATTCGTTGGGTTATAGCATGCGCTCCCGCTCTAAAGCGCTAAAAGCGCGGATTTGCAGCAATCCGTATAAAATTCGCGAACTATCTTTCTGCAGAGCGCGAATTTTCATTTTTGGAGCGCGATTTCTCAAATGGTTGTTGAGAGTGCAATTCTTAGAACCATTTTGAGAAGAGTAAGTGCAGGAGAAAAGAAGACGGCAGCAACAGAGAGGAGTTGGTGGTCACGGTCAACAATGCTCCAGAGAAAAACTAAAAACAGAGCAAAAGAAAAGAGCATGCAAAACTAAAATTAAGTGAAGAATCGCAGTAGTTATTCATGGGTCGATCGTCTATAGTTCAGATCAAACCGGAAGAATCAAATTCGAAATCTGAAATCATATTTGAATTAAAGAATCAAGAGAACTAAGAGGGGCCCTGTCTCCTCAATGGCGTTAATCGACAGTTTGCAGCCACCGTCGTTGCTTCTTTTCCCTATCGAAGTAGTTCTATCGTCTCCAATCCGAGCCGCATCCGTCGTTGATTACTTATCTATTGTGAGATCTAGCGGAAATAACTCACCTGTCGGATTGCATGTGAGAGTTGAGTATCTGAAATGGAATCAAGAAAGAGAAAAATAGGGAAAAAGCTTCAACTGGGTTTCTAATTCTTCCTCTGCGTTGAGCAGCTACAGAGGGAAGTTTCAGATTAGTAAGAACTCTATTGAGGATGGTGGTGGGTGGGCAATAGATAAGGTAAATAAAAGATAAAGCACTTTCCATTCTCATTTTAATTAAATCTTATTATAACAATGAATTAATTTGTGAATCAATTGGCTAATTGGCGCACTTTCCATTTTTATTTTGACAAAATGTATGCTAAATATATTTTTATGTAGTTTGATATTTACTATATTGAAATTTCAACAAAAATATAATAAAAATAATAACGCTCTTTTCACGCTCTCGAAATCAAGTTCTTGTAAGACAGACGATTTCACGCTCTCGCTCTCGCTCCCGCTCCCGCTCTCGCTCCACGAACTGGTTACCTAAGACGAGACTAAGAAGTTTCTATGTGAAGGTGGGTTAGGGTTTTGTTGGTGTCGTAATAATCGTTGATCTGGCAAAGTGATTTGAGTTCGAGTTATAAAAAAATAGAAAAATAAAAGGGCTTTTAATATCACGCCATTTAAAATAATTCACAATTTCCACACATTCCCTAATTTTAAATTATTATAAAATAAAAAAATCATCTAATACCTTAGTTAAACCAAAAATTAAAAAATTAAATATTTATCAGATCTTTTGACTTGGCAGTGACGTGGCGCGTTGGCCGTTAGTCAACGCGTTTGACCGTCCAAGTTAACGGTCAAACATCGGGTTTGGCCAAATTGTTTATTTTGGTGTATAATTCGGGCCAGGATGTTATAGATCGAAAAAATTGACTAGGATATTTATTTTGGTCAAAGTTCAGGCCATACAAAAATATTAACCCTGACCAAAACAAGTGCCCAAGATTCATGATTAACAAAAATGTAGCGATCAATTGGTTTGGCACAGCAACAAACCAACAAGTATGAATAAGAAGACATCCCAAAAAAAAAAAAAAGTATGAACAAGCAGAAGTCTACATCATTAATTTCCCCGGAAAATACCTCTCAAATTCATTTTTGTCCATTTTCGGTCTAGCCCTTGTATTCTATAATCAAACTAAAATTACTTTATCATTACTCTTAACATAATTAACTACCATATATTAGCTAGAACTATTAAGCAACGAGAAATAATAGTCACAATTATCGAAATACAAATTATTAACTAACCGTTACGTCTCTGTTAACACTTTCGTTAGATGATGGTGAGTTGGCAGATCCTACGCAGATGTGGAAGAGATATTATGACGTGGCAGTCAATAAAAATTGCCATATCAGCCAGTCAACCTTTATAACTTATTAATTAATTATTAATTAAAGGAGATCCGCACCATCTCTTCTTCTTCTTCTGGAAAGGAGGTCCGACCCCTCTTCTCCTCACCATCTCTTTTCCCCCTCTGGTTCCACAATCAAAAGAAAGAAGCCATTGAAGGAAGTAAGGGGATTCGAATCGACGGGGGCGCTCTAGTCGTCTAGATCCGCGGCAACGCAAGGGACACACCCGAAAACTATGAGATTGCACTCGATTTGACGTCAATAGAGCTTTGCCTCCAGCAACCTTTTACCTCCGGGAACACCAACGGACCTCGTTTGAATTCAAAGCTAGATCTGCAACTCCCAAACTTTTACTGTCGCAACAATTTTACCGTTAGGCTATCTTACATTTGCTGGGAAGAGAAGGTATTTGCAATTGATGTTATAACACCTGTAGTGGAGAATGCAGGCACAGACGAACAGTAGGTGGGAAATGACAATTGATTCATATATTTACACAGAGCCGCGAAGGTCAAAAAAATTTCCAATTGTGATAGAGGAGCTTTGCAAAAAAAAGCTGGGGATAATGGGAGGGTGAGGGGGAAAATTACATCTCTCCTACATAGAACATAGTTGCAATTGGAGTTGGAGCGTACCAATCAAATTACACTCTCTCAGCTTTTTACCCTAGTAAAAATTGAGGAGACAAAGGAGAAGGAGGTTCTGATACTTATGGCTAAACTGTTAGACGAGTCGATGAAACTTCCAGCTGAGATCATTTTCTCCCGTTCCATGCTAGCTATAGAACTTAGAAGATGGTGCCGGACGCAGGAGAGTAATGGTGGTGGAGGATGGTCGATTTTGGGAAGTGAAGTTGTGGAGCTGCTGCAGCAGAAATCGGTGCAGTAGTAGTAGTAGTAGTCGTAGTAGCTGTCGAAGAAGCGACGAATCCTGATGATGCTGCAGTAGAGAAGAATGGCAGTGCGATGTTTTCCCTGCCGTATGGACTGTGCATTTTCCATGCCCAGTTTAGCATAGGGTCCATCCCCACCCTCTTCTCCATTGCTCTTTCCTGCTTTCATAATTTAAAACCAAAAATGGGGACATCTCAGTTAAGATCCACCTTAACCAACGGATAGAAGCTAGGCCGAGAGTTTCAGTCAAGCAAAATTACATGCATCAACGTAGCAGAAGATGGAAGAATCACCTTAGAGATAGGAAAGGAACCGGGGTTTGGACCAGCCCCCATGGCAGGACCACGGGACAGTTGATGACTGTTCATTGCTGCTGAAGTAGAGTTGAAGATCTGCAAATCAAAAGAGAGCAAACAATATTCAATACCCTTTTTTGTCCAAAATTCTTTGAGATGTATATCGATTGTTCAGACGATGTTGATGTGGGAGTGTATAGAGTATTACCCTGGGGATCTTGTCCAAGCACATAGAATCCAGGCCACCTGGAATGCAAAAGCCACCACCTACACTGCTGTTTAGCCTTTTGGATTCAGTTGCATCAGGAGGTGCAATGCCCAAGTTCAGATCAAGACTTTGATCTGTCACAGAAGAATCATGGAGGATTCTTGTAAGCATATGTAATATAATCAACGGGATTCGGTATCTATCTAGTAATTAGATGTCGTAGTAAGCATATTACAAGTACCTTCGGGCTTGATCACCTCAGATGTGATATCTCCATCATATGAACTGGGATCAAAATTGGTGACAGCCTCCCTCCCATTGCATTTGATGGCAGCTTCATCATAGGCCCTGGTTTCCAGAGAAAAACCAACCAAAACCATCTCAATCCCAAGTTGGAAAAATTAAGGTTACAAGCAGTCAAGATTGTTAAGACGACTCTAAGATCCGATTAATGGTTCATAACAAGGACCTCGCGGCTTCTATCTCGCTATCAAAAAGGCCAAGGTATATGTACCTGCAGGTCAAGGAATCAAATTACCACCCCAATAAAAAAAAAACCAGGACCCCAACTAGCAGCACTCTTTTATCTTTCTCTTCATTCTTCCAAATTCTCAGTTTCATTTCATAGAAGCCTACTATATCTAGAATGAGCAAGCAAGTGCACGAATCGATTGTCCGAAGCACCAATCAAACAAGGCATCCATGTCAATCCAGCATCAAGTAATCATCAAAGAAACTGAACGAAAGGGATAGAGTGGCCACTCACTTCTTTCCCAGAAACTGGCCCATTCGAGCTTCCCATCTCCCACATTTATGGAGTGTCACTCCTCTGTACTTGGAGCTTCCCCTTGAGAATCCAGTGCTCTGGCGACGAAGGATATGAACGAATTCCTCCTTGGTAAAATTGCTCATCTGTTTAACCCAACCAATCAAACCCAGGAGCAGAAACCCCAATTTAGCAACTAATCCTATTGCAAACCAAAGGAAATTCAGTCCTGCGTGCGATCCTATCCAAAAGATTACAGTAAGTCTCTACCTGCTTAATATCCTCATCGTAATCGCTGACATTGAAGTTGATATCAGCATCGACTCCACGGAATTTGATCGCAGCTCGATCATACGCCCTGAAGTAACCATCAAAATTGGGCCAGAAGTCAGCAACGTGATCAAGAAAACAACATGAACCAACAATGGCTGGTTCGAGGCTACCTAGCGGCAGAATGAGCAGTGTCGAATCCCCCAAGGTAAACTTGCTTCCCGCTATCCCTACAAGAAGGAAACCCCAATCGTCAATTCTCGGTGACAGAAACACCCAACAGATCAATCGGATTAACCAACGAACTAGCGAAGGGAGAACTCACCAAATGTGGGATTCCCAGCGGCCGGTCCGCCGGTAAAACGTGACGCCGCGATACTGGGAGCTCTTGGAGCGAGGACCGCGGCGGTTCTTCTTCGCCGGAGGCTTCTGCTGCTGCTGTTGCTGCTGCTGCTGCTGCTGAACCTGAGCGACAATCTTCTCCGCCAGACCGCCATACTCAACCTCCCTCCCACCGAGATCCAGCCACTGCTTCCTCGAGCGCAAACAGTGAGCCAGCGCGTCGATTCCACCTCCCCTTCCCCCACCGCCGCCGCCGCCGCCGCCTATGGGGAAGAGCTGAATAGTCCCATCATGATTATTATTATCATTACTCTGCTCATCCTCAAGTGCCATCATCTTCTTCAAGTCCCGCTGTTGCTCCGTCAAGATACGGAAACTGTAGCCGAACACATCGTCGCCCGTGTTGGAGCAGGAGTCCTCGTCGCCGGGAGCAGCAGCATTGCCGGCATTCCGGTCGACATTGACGACGGAGGAGGAATCGAAGCTCCCGGAGCTCTCCACTTGATTGTTGTTGTTAGACGACGAGAAGTCCAGACCCCGCTTTCTGTTATTCCCGCCACACCCGCCGTCCATCTCGCCGGGGTAAGGGGAAACGACGCTGAGGTTGAGATCCACCAACATTGCTTCACTATCAAGGGAGGGAAAACAAAAGGAAGAAGCGGTGGAGCTGTGACAGAGAGATTGGAGGAGGAGAAGAATATGGAAGAGAGGAAGGGAGGTTGGGGGAGGGGGGATGGATATATATGAAAATGGAAGAGGGGGGGAAAGTGAAAGGGAAATTGGTAGCCGTCTAGGGCGCATCCATGGCGAGGAACGCAGGGACAGAAAGAGGAGGAGCGGACGGTAGGAGCAAAGCGAACAAGAGAGGAAGTAGGAGAGTGGAGAAGAGCGAGAGCAAGAGAGGTGAAAGCAAGGGGAGTGGTGTTTGCATTTGTTTGGCGTGGCTAGCACTGTGGAAGGAGGGCGGCCGGGGCGGAATCACTAATTAATCAGGCAGAGAGAGAGAGAGAGAGAGAGAGAGAGACTGTGGTCTATGGGTGTTTAGCTGTTTGGTTGGGACTTGGGACTATTGGTGTGACCTTTGGAGTTGGCTTGGGTTTTGACTAGTACCATTATACCTCTTACCACTGCGACTTGTGAGCATTGTTGTGTTTCCTAAGTTATGAACAATAAGAGGTCTAACGTGGAAGCTCGCCGGATTGGACGGGTAGTACAGGTATTTGTTATCCGTCTCGTATAGGTAATGGGTACTCGTTAATCAGTATGGTAGGGATGGCAATGGGTAGGGCCGGGTGCGGATTTACCCTATACCAACTCCTAACTCGCCGGGTAGAGCCTTCTAAAATACCCGAACAAATAACCATCGGGTATGAAAATTATATAACCATACCCTACCCACCAGGTAACCACGGGTATTCGGGTAACCATGGGTACGAATCCTAAACTATGAACTAAAACACATATATGCACATACATACTATTGTCTATTAAAAATTCTCAATACTTGTAACTGTTCTAGCTTCAACAATTCACACAAATAAAAACAACAAACACATAATAATTGTTCTTGCTTCTATAATCCAAACAAACATAATAATCGTCTACATCTTCATCATCAATAATGGTAGCTACACTCAATTTCTCAAGCTAAACTAAATTTCTCAAGGGAAATTGACCCTTTGGTTAGCGGGACGGGTACAACGGGGCGGGTATTATCGATTACCATACCCGTACCCTACCCTTTATTTTGAAATCGGGTATTACCCGTACCCGCCCCTTAACCCGTCAAAGCGGGTAATTACCCTCGTTGACCGGTTACGGTCGGGTAGGATACCCATGGTTATGGGTTGGATTGACATCCCTAAGTACGGGTTTGGGATATGGGATGGAGATTGCTCTCTAAATGGGACTGGGTACTCGTTTCAAACGAGACGGGTATCCCGTCTCGTTGCCCACCCCTAGACCACGCCTAACAAATGGTCGACCTGTTCTTATATCAGGTCGATCTTTTTTTTTTATATAAGGTATCAAATCGATCATTTTTTCTGTTCCAGTTAATATAAACCAACAATCAACTAATGCTTATATTATGAAGATAATTCGAAAATAAAACACTGCAATCATAGTTACAAAATATAAACTCCTAAAAAACAGTACTAAAAATTTATGCTTTTTTTTGCTTTTTTTTTTTACACTTCGGGCGAAAATGGTCAAATTTCTCACATTTCAAACACTTTCTTATGCTTTTGTCGGATGCACTTCGTGCTGACTTGAATGTTCCCTTGGTCTTCCCAATTTTTGGGTCTTTCACACTTGGAAGAGGTGTTGGAGGGTTTGCAGGTACAGTGGTGTCCATTCTCGCCCTCGAGAACTCAATTGCCCATTGAGTAAGGTCATCCAACGCCTTAGAGGCATGATTAAAAGAAGCTTCACTGCCACACGCGATGTCACACAAATGCTTACACTTTAGAGACAATCCCTCATGTCTTATCAGTAGACCAACTTTCTCTGCCACATCACATCCAGCTCCAGGATTACGAGATAGTGTCTTTGCATTTTGGGTCCATCGAAACTTGAGCCACGTCGAGGGTTGTGCTGTAAATTCCTTATTCTTTATGATTGTAAGCAAATGTCTGCATGGAAACCTATTAGATTCAAATAATGCACACTCACAATTTAGATGTTGATTGGTCGTAGTAAATGTTAACCTCCTTATCCGATTCGGGTTCATGTAATTCTTCAGGATGAATGTCTCTATCCCATCTGATTTAGTTCTTGTTTTCGTTAATACATAAGAAGCTTCATTCTCTAGTTCAGATTTGAAGATAGAAAATGCACGATGTGTGTAGATACTTTCAGCTTGCATTTCCCATGTGCGAAGGGCATGCTTGCAGACCAACCTCGTGTGCCTAGAAGAATAATCATCCCGCACCTTCGTGAAATGCATCCCCTTTAGTGCTTCATCAATGCCCTGAACAAAACGTTGCAAGCTGTAATGAGTTCCCACATACCCATTTATCCAATGGTTACATGACTCACATCGTGAGTTTGATGGAGTCCATCGAAATAAATATCCTTCAAGTATGCCTCTGCCCAAAGTAATTTGTCAGCGTACAAATCCTGCAACCACTTATTTGCAGACAAACCACGCTCAGTAATCAAACACTCCCAACGCATCTCAAACTCCTCATTTGATATACATGTTTTCGCCAAGTGGGTGAATGCGCTAACGAACTCTCTATTATGAACTTTTATGTGGTTCGCTTGTCTGTGTGGCAAAACGTGTCAAACTTGGGTTTTTTTTTTAAGTGTGGTATTATGGGAATTTTATTTTGAAACGTAGGCAATTAAATTTTTTCGCCCCGAATCACTTGGTTAACGGTTATCCGGTTAACCGATAAAATAACCGAGAACCGATTATACGATTACAGTTAACCGACTAATTTAAATAGTGCGATTAACGGTGAGCACACAGTATTTAATGATTAATCGATAACCGACTAAACGGTTGCGGCTATAACCGAACCGAACCGATGATCAGCACTTGATAAGATTTAAGATTAAATAACAATGTTTGTTCAATTATTTATTAAATGAAATAAAATCAAAATATCACAAATTCGAGAGTGACATGAGAAAAGGAAAGATGAGAAACCACGTTGACCAGATTGAGATGATTAGAGCCAATTGATGAATGATGAGGAGTCGTCTAAACTCCACCTTTGTTGTGGAAATTGTAGAACAAGTGCACCATTTTGATTTTGCACCTCATCACACCAAATAAAACACTCTCCTTCATGATTAAACAAATCGCTATATACTGCTTTGTTTGTCAACTGAAAATGACAATTTAGTTCGGATATTTTTTTGCGCCTATAGTTTTAGATTTTCCTCAGGTAATTTACGATCCTTCATCTTGTCTCTTTACTCGATGAAATAGGTTGGCGGAGGATAAGAAGAAAGGAAAGGAAAGAAAAGGAGAAAAAAAAAGGAGCTGGTAGAAACAAAAATGAAAGTGTGAACTTGGAGCACAACCGAAACATTTTTTATTTATTTATTATTAACAACTTGTAATAAAATAGTAAAACATTATTATTATTAATTAACAGAGAAATAAATAACAACAAAATTCCAAATGGCTACAAGGTAGGAGCAGTACTACTGATTTCTTGTGGGGGGAGTTCCCAGACTCGACAGTGAGAGAAACAGTCATGGGATTTTTGTCCCTTTGCGTTTTATTATATAGTATTTATGGGGAAATATAAATATAGTATTATATTTTATTGAATATCGGATTTCGATTTTATTTTAAAAAGTTTTTTTTAAAAAAAAGGAAGAAGAATGGACGAATGATGATAGTATGGAAAGCATGCACTTACGGATGTCTTAGGTTCGAGTGGGCAATATCCGTACACGTCGATAAATCCTCCCACCTAAAAGTTCGCCAGCTGTTTGTGGGTCCCGCCCACTCCCACTCCAAAGGTGGCAAAATTGCGACATTTTGGCTCCCTGCTACTAGGGGTGGCAGTTCAGTTACCGATTGTCGGTTAACCGGCCGGTTATCCATTAACCGATAATCGAAGTAACCGAATTTCGGCCGGTTATCGGAAGCTGGCCAAAATGGTTGTTGGTCTTAAAAGTGGTTCGGTTAACTGAGAAATCGAAGCCTATTTCGATTGGTTTTCGGTAAGGAGGGTATTTATTTCGGTTAACTGATAATCGGCCAATCGGTTATCGGTTATAACCGAAATAACCGAACGGCCACCCCCTACCTGCTAGCTGCTACCACATAGTACCACTTGACTATTTTTTTTTTTTTACAATGGGATCACTTGCATTGTTTTTTGTGAGATCAATTACAAGAGAAATCAAAGAGGAAACCAGAATCAGAGCAGGAGTAAAGATCTCCGAGCAAAAGTTGAAACAAACAGTGTTTCAGAGATAGAAAAAGGGAAGCACAGAACACCAAATGAACCAACCCCTACATTGGGTCTGAAACACTTGATCCACAACCAGTAAACACAAAAATCTCTCTTGCAACCAAACCAAACAAAGTAGCACCAAGCACTGTCAGCTCGTCCGATCCGACCGGAACCATGGCTATTGAACACAGCAATGCCTTAAGCCGCCTCCTGGGAGTCGCTCGAAGACGCTCAACACACTGAATCTCAGATGTGGGATTACATGGCGGTGTTCAGGGATGAGAATCAGATTGCTCCGAGCTGAAGAAGCAGAGGGAGCCAAGGAACCAAATCTTGGTGAAGGCGAGCAGGAGAACCCACACCCCAAAATCCAAGAACCTTCACCACAGCCAACCGGATCAGACTCCGTCATCCACCCAACGACGATGACAAAGAGGCAGATCTAAACCACCAGCAAAGGCCAAAGGGGGAAACGGTGAATGGATTCACCAAAAGAAAGATAAATCCACTATCTTGAGGGACAACCACCACACATAGTCTGGTAGAGACGCCAAATATGCAAATCCAACCCCAAGGAGAGCAAACCCAGAAACAAGAACCCTAGAACAGAGAATATTGAAAAGCCACATAGGCTGAAAAAGCTGACAAAGCTGGAAAATCCGATGGAAAATGCCTAAAACATAGGCAAGAGAGCTTGAAAAGGAAGCATGGAAAAAGAGGGTTCAATGGGCTACCGCCGGTCACCAAAAGGTGTCGGTGGCAACCCCTGGGAAGGTGGACTGGAGAGTTGAGGAAGAGAGAGGGCAGAGAAAAACTTTTGAATTAAAGTAAGAGAGAGAGAGAGTGTTGGTGTAACAGAACATGCTGAATGAGTGCTATTTGAGAGATTACCACTTGACTACTGAATAATTAAATCTGAACCTTTAGATTTAAGTAGGTTCAGAAAATTCAGATTTAATGAATGTGGATTAAATCTGAATCTCCAAGAAATTGCACTCAATTCGTATTCTTACGCGTTCAGGTTTTCGGGTTTCGGGTTCAGTTTTCAACAATTTTGGGTTCGGGTTTTGTCGGGTTTCGGGTCGGGTAACCGAACCCGACCGGAACGAACACCCCTAGTGGTAAACAATGATGAAAGTGGTAAATGACACTTAGTATACTCTTACTATCATGTATTCAACCTTCCTACAGTCTTGGTATGTTCATACCATCATGGTCCGCTTTCTTACCATATAGTATGCTCCTATTTAATACCATATGGTATTGACTAGTAAAAAATGGCTCAATTTTTTTTGTTATAAAAATATATCAAAGTGGATATCATTTTAAAAATCACAATTAATCTGATTTATCTGTGCAAAAAAATAAATAAATTCCAACTTAAAACGAGAGAGAATCGTCCATTAAAGATTAAATGAGAAAAGATAAAAGGCTTTTCATGAGAGAGAGGGACGTTGATGACATGCTAATGTGGACGGGTTACTCATGGTTACTCACCCTAATGTTATTGACCTGATCCGTTCCCCACTTGACTGGTCGGGGGCAAATGCGATCATACACTCAAAATTAATTTTAGCTTAAACATTGAAAAAGAATAATAATTAGATTATATAAATTTGTAAATTTCATATGTTGTTTTGAGATTATAAAAATTTCTCTAACATATATCTCAACCAAAAATATCTAAATCATAAACTCTTAGTAAGAAAATGTTTTAATGAGTAAACTATGTTTTAATGAGTAAACTCTTGGTCAATATTTGAAATTCATTTATTTATTCATTATTATATACCAAAATTATCTTAGAAAATATGGATGTGTAACTTGAAAAACTTAACTGATTTAGTTTGAAGCATTGATTAAGGAACCTACCATACCTGTCGGTCAAATAGAAAGTACTGGATATCGGGTCTTAAAAGGTAGGCGGTTTAAGTGGTAGGAAATAGTTGAACTGCGGTTAAATCATGATTTTAGTACATAATATCCTACTATAAACTTTTTCAGTATAACTCCAGTACGATTTCACAATCCTTGGTTGAAGTTACAAGACCTAATGTTCGGGGCGAGGTGCTTTGGGTCGGCTTCGGTAAAAGAACTAGATCATTATAATTTTGTTTCGAGCCATCATCCTCTTGGGATGGTGCATTCATTTTATCCAATCGGCTCTCGATCGACTGACCTATAAGGCAAAACAAACCCTAGGCTGAGTGCCCCGAGTATGCTCTCCGACGACCAAGTCAGTGAAGGAAACTCTATAAAGGGATGAGAGATAAGGAAATGTAAGTGCATGGGATATAAATGTGTAACCCATTGTGAGGGATATATACCCAGGAAGGTTAAAGTCTCTATGCTTGATCGATTGAATATGAGTCATAGCGATCCATGAACAACAAGACCATAAATGTATCTCTCGGGATTCCGACATCCCTGAAAAATAATGCAGATGTATTTTTCCCTTTTGTCAGTGGCGACCACCCTCACATGGAGGGGCATGCTATGAATCATTCGTCTGCAAGGTACCTGTTGTGAATAAGGAACTTTGACTCGCTTTTACCAACACAACTAAAGTACGACGAAGTACATTCGTAATCTAGGAATGCAATATAGTGGTTCAGGTTCTAAATGTCAACCAAGATTCTAGGTGTACTGGTTACTCGTGCAATTCTATTATCTAGCCGTGAAAGTCAAGTGAAGTTGATTTTTAAACTAAAACAAGAAGAAATAAAGCAAACAGTTGTTCTCATATTAAGAAGGCTCACTCAGGTATGAGTCCCCCTAGATCTGTTAGGACAAATTGTAAGTCTCCCAACTCAATTTGATTGATTCTTTTATTGCGGAAAGTTCTCAAATGGACTAGAGTCTCGACTAAAGTGTTCTAGGCCCTCTTAGTTAGAATGCCCAGCGGGCGACTTACCTCCACCAGTATCAGCTAACCCACCTTATTCCTCTACTGGGTTTTACACCATTACAAAGCAGTGAATAGACTTCTCTACTAAAGTAGTCGATTCACTACCTCCAATTCAGATTGCTCTTTTAACCTATGTAGAGACTATCATTCTAGGTTAAAGTAGGAATCACAGGAATTTGATAAGGACATGCATTCTGCATAATGGCTCAATTGGATAAAAGATAATCAATCATTCAAGACAAAGGGTTCATACAACTCTTCCTAACATACAACTCTAGGATTCTTATATTCCAAAGTGATAGAGGGGATTACTCCATAGAAAGAGAGTGAAAAGCCATGTTGGATTTAGAGCTCATCGTGTAGACGGAAGAAATCTTCTCCAAGTTGTTAATCGTCACTTCTTAAGGCTTGAATCGACTCCGATGGTAGGAAGACTTGATCTAGGGCTCTCAGGGATCACTCTTTGTCACTTTCTCTTCCTAAAACTCTGTTTCAGCTATCCAAAATTGATCTCCTTTCCAACATCTCGAGTTCAGCTTGTGTAAACGCGATACGACCTTTTCCGATCATACTCCCCGATCGGGGAATTGGATGCTTGATCGAGGATCTTCAAAACGCCGTGTTTCCACTGATTATGCAAAGGGGAGATTCCCCGACCACTACTCCTGATCCCCAATCGGGGGAATGAAGCATTCTGACCGGAGGGTATCCTAATTGCCAACCGCGGTCTCTGATGTTGATCCCCGATCGAGGATTGGATAGCCTGACCGGGGAATCGGATCCTCCATCTCCCATATCTCACCCGCTCTCTATTTTGACCTAAAACTTGCCCCCAAACCTTCATTTTTGATCCAGGTCCTAAAATACGACGTAAAAGCACAACCTAGCATGAAATCGATTAGAAATAAGAGAATCGAACCTCAAACAGTTTAAGAATGTTGGGGAAAACATATGCAAATATTCAAGCGATCAAATTCCCCACACTTAACTATTTGCTTATCCCCAAACAAACCTAACTCAAACCAATGCAGCTCACCAGAACTCTACAACAACATTCAACCACCATCGTCGACGGTGGGTTTTCTAGACCACATAGTGATTTACGAGGTCAGCCGATACACAAGACATCCCCAAACTCCCTCGCCGAGAACTCTAGTCCCGAGTTGGGATCATGCAAAACACTAGACTTAAGGCAAATGATTAGTGGATGAAGAGACTCTCTAACACACAGAACCATGGACTCATCTTTTTGGGTGCTCTTTTTCTTTCATTAGATTCGTTGGAACCCCTTTTTCCTTACTCTTTTCTTTTCTTTTCCATTCCTTTTCATCGGCGGGGTTCCAATCTGTATTTTTCAAGGTCGACCCTTATTGGTTGAGCAAGAGTAATGTATCTCTGTTACTTGTCAGAGTACTTCTTTTTACTCCTCTACCGTAACTCGTGTGGAGGATCAATGAATTTAAGGGGGGTTGGAAGCTTTATCCGTGCCCTTAAAAACACATCATCGAGTAGGTGTTCAGTTCTACGGGTGAAACTTTTACTTGTACTAGAGAGGAACTAGCATCACCTTGTAGGAGTACCTAACTAAGGCTCAACTAGTGTCTCTTCCAAAACCCGATGGTGCAATGAACGACGCCACACATGTTGGGCTCAACTAGTGTCTCTTCCAAAACCCGATAGTGCATCATTGAGCTTTCTTCAAATCGGTCCCGGTGGAGAGTTGTGACGAACTCGATCTCGCCAACCAGGATCTGATACCAAATATTAGAAACCGAGATCAAGGAGTTAACGGATCTGTGTAGGATTGGGGGAATTAACTTGATCCATTAAACATTGATCTAGCTGGGGATTAGGATTGCGATTGAAGTGAAGAATAAGAGGAGAAAGAAAATGGGAAGCTGCGACAGCAACTAGGGAAGAAGAGAGGAATCTCGCAGGAGAGAGAGAAGAGAGAGGAAGAGCTTAGGGTTTGATAATTTCGTCTGTAATTGCTTAATGAGTAAATCTCACTAATTACAGATTATATAGTCCTACTAATAACTATTTCATACCACACTAATACGGCATGATAAAATACTCCCTAATTATTTCCAAAATTCCCCAAAGAATCGCAAAACGTCACAAATCGATAAATAATCTCAAATAACAAAAATAAGCTATAAATGTGTTTCTAACAAGTTCATAGCATCCTCGACCTTGTACGCCTACACGAGTTGTCCTTCAATAGACTTCAACCCAAGAAGCTCCTCCATAAATTACCCCTGTGTTCCCCAACAACTCCACACTGCAACCATATTGCTTGGTTTTCAGCGGCAGGACCATTCTCATCATAGAGCCCAGCACTATCAACTCTTGACGAACTAATCAAGTATGACAGCAAGTCGACATAATGGTGGATAAGGTGATGTCCTCGAGTCTCCATTTCTTTCTCATCTAGCTGGGAGAATCCTTCACTTAGCGAGCGACCTTGAGCTACTTTCACCCCTTTGGATGCAATTGCTTCATTTTGAACACTAAAGATCATCCAGGAAAGTTCGATACAAAATCTGATTCTACAATCTTCTAAGGCTGCTCGAACAGAAGTAATCCCTATAGAATCTTTAATAAACAAACTGACAAAGTGAAAGAACCCAAATTCCATCACAGATAGATAGTGATCAACAAGAAAATCAAACTATAGAAAATGTTGCTAAAGAAAAAACCTCCCACTCGTATAAAAATTGAGAATGAAGAGCTATGAGCTATGAGCTATGAGCAGTCCTGCACCTCATATTCAGAAGCGACATCTAGCTCTGCAGTTGATATGTGATCTATAAACTCAACTGGTAACTAGAGCCAGAGCAAAACATCTACTAGCAATTTCTGCATTTTATTGTGCACTTCTGTCCTCAACTAACCAAATAATGTTCAAGGAAAATGTAAATGATGAAATTGAAATCTTGCTGTGCAAGTAGAGCTAAACCAATTTGAATGTGTACAAGTCTGAGAACTAGTCCCTCGACCCATAAATGTGCCTATGATTGGAACTACATGGATTTTCATAAACAAAACAGATGAGTTAGGACAGATCACAAGGAGCAAGGATAGATTAGTAGCTAAATGATAGATCAACAAAGGGTATTTGAATATGAAGAAACATTTCTCTCTTGTAGCTAGAATCAAGGCAAACCATCCAAACCCCTACATCCTCTATTCAATTAGATGCTGAAGAACATGGCAATCTCACCATTTTCACCAGAAACCAAAAGGGGGACACAGAACATCACACCAGTATATGCATTCTATGTAATCAAGCACCCTTTAAGCCTAGCAAGGTAATTAATCTCAAACAAAGCAGGGATGAGCCGTCCCAAGACTGGCAAACCAAAGAACCGTACACTGGTAACATCTCATTATAACATAATAACATACCATAAAACAACTAACGATGATAGTAATGTAAATGATAGTAATAATCCTCCTGAAATAAGGAACGACCTTGTCATTCACCTCCTCCACCAAAATAGAAATTCCTAACATCCAACAAACAAAACTTGTAGACAACGGATAAAGCTTGACTCAAACAAACAAACTACCAGAAGTTTACTGGGAAACCCCGAGCCACTTGGAGAAGATCTCGAACTCGGTGTAATCACTCTCAGAAATCATAGTTTGGTACCAGGCCTTTCCAGCAGCCTTGATAGCAGATGCTTCCTCCTGCCAAAGTCACCCCCAGAATGACAAAACCGGAATCAGATGAGTATCGCCGAGTTTCAGAGACACAGAGACGTAACAAAGTAAAAGAGAAAGCATCAGGCACATATATAGTTATTATAACATATGCACTTCTTTTTTTGGTCATGCAGGATATACCAATACTCATTAACGTAATAATTAGGAGGTTTATACTAACACAACAATTTCAGAACCAAAACAGATCAACTGCTTGCAGAGCATTGGGGAACAAATGCAAACAACAAGGTTTGGCACTGCCAGCAATTACAACAATAACCAATACGGGACAACAGCATTATACTGGTTCAAGAAATTCTTCCAATCCAACTTTAATGAAACCCTAGCCCAGGTCCAACTTAAACAGCTAATTGTGATTCCAAACAACTAGGCTAACCAAACCTAAAGTTTCAAACACCAAACACATCAAATACCAAAAGCAATAGAACAAAAAAAAAAAAAAAGTTACATCTACATATAAATATCTTAGACCATAATTCAATTGCATAAATACAATTTTCAGTTCACTATGCTACTGCCAGCATAAGACCAACACTATTATCACCCATCAACATAAAGGCTAAGATCCTATTTGAATATACCAACCAAAACAGGGATAGTGTGAAGCCTGTATTGTTAAAGCTTAAAAGTCATACTGCACTACACACCTAGATCCTATTTGACAATATCAACAACGTCGAGAAACCAATTACATGAAATCAATTCCATGAACCATAAAATTATGTAATAGACTAAGAGAAAATGATCATATACCTTGCTGATGGGAGTCCTCTTCTTATCGAGCTTCTCCTTCTTGGCCTTCACGCGCTGGGCCTCGGCCAACAAGGACATCCTCCTAGCGGTCTTGGCATACGGGTTCAACTTGAGCATCACATTCAAGTTCTTCAGAGGATTCTTCTTCAATGGTGCTCTCTTAACTTCCTTCTTGATGGGCTTCACCACAGACTGAACCTCATCAGAGTTGATAATCCTAGCCAAATCAGCATTCACCATCTTAGCCCTAGGCAGCACATAACCATTCTTCTTCTCAGCAGGCTTGTCGAAGGAGCCGTAGATGGAGTCAAGCTTCTCAAAAGCCGACTTAGTCCAGATGACAAATCGACCCAAGTGGCCACCAGGGGCAAGCTTCAAAAGATTCAGACGATCCACATTGGCCACTTCCACTCCAGGAATGTTGCGGAAGGCCTTCACCAGCTTAGCGCCTTCAGTTCCATACACAACCAAAGGTCCCTTGCGAGAAATATACCTCCTGTTCCTCATCTTACCTTTTCCAGGACGAATCCCTACGCTGTCCTTCGCCTTCTCGGCATCAGCATAAGCTCCGATCTCCTTCAGCAGCTTGATGGCGGTGGATGTCTTCTCAACCCCCTCGGCAGAGTCGTTAATCACCAGGGGCAGCTCGGGGACAGTGTCGATCCGGTGGCCGCGAGCCATCACCAGAGAAGGGATAGCGGAGGCGGCGATGGCGGAAACGACGGCGTACCTCTTCTGGTTGACGTTGATCCTCCGGTGCCAGCGGCGCCAGATCTTGGTCGGAGCGAACATGCGACCGCCTCGACACATGTTTCCGAAGGCTCCCTGACCGGCGCGGTGAGTTCCTCCACCGGGAACACGGGGGATACGAGAGACAGCACGGCCGGTACCCCAGGACTCGGCGGAGGTCTGGTGGCCGGCCTTCTTGGAGACGGCGTAGGGTTGCCGGCTGTTCTTCGACATGTTGGAGTGAACAAAGTTCACGACGTCGGGTCTGATAGAGGCCCGCATGACGTCGGGTAGCGGAACGGTGGCCGGGGAATCGGCGGCCATATCGTTCATTGTAGGTAGGGCCTGGACGGAGACGAGGGGACGGGCGGCGGCGGCCATTTTCTGGTTTGGCGAAGGAGTGTTCCTCTGCGGAATTGCTACTTACTCTAGGGTTTTGGGAGGCAGGGTTGAGCGGAAGTTGAAGCGTTAGAATTTATAGTGAGAGTTTTCTGGAACCCTTTCTCTCATCTGATCTAGGTCCAAACCTTACCAGTTCGTGAAAAAGCGGTCGGCAAAGGATATAGACCCTTTAGTTCTTCTGTCCATTATGCTAGGCCCAAATCTAACTTCTGTTTTTAGGATGGGCTTTAATCATTCGCTTCATGGGCTTCAAAACACTATTCTTGCAGGCCTGAAACCTAGTTCTCATCGTTTTATGTTTAAATAGTATTTCATGTCCCTCTATTATTATAAATTAAAAAATATATATTCCTCTATTAATTTTCTGAACTTTCATACTTTCATCTATCAAAACATAACAAATTTACCCTATGAAAATAAAACAAATATATATTTCCATCCAATAAAAGTGAAAGAGAAAAGAAAACACTAATATGTCCTTTCCTTTCCACTTTAATTAATTGTTTAAATTATTTTTTTAATTTACTTTTTCTCTCCCTGCCCTATCACAAAACGCATACAAAGAAATAAAAGGCCATTCTGGCAACAGCGATCCAAAGTTACACCACTTTTGATGGGCGTTTACCCTCTGTCAGCCTTAGGTGAATCTATTAGCAAAGAAAAGTCTAGGATTTTTTTCTCAAAAAATGTCAAGAACCAGAATAGAAATGAGATCTGTAAGAGGTTAGGGATTCAAGCTACTTCTGATCTAGGGAGATACCTTGGTGTCCATGTGATTCATGGCAGAATCACCAAAACCACTTGTAAGTATATTATTGACAGAATTGAGCAAAAACTCACCAACTGGAAAGCAAAGACTCTTTCCCTGGCTGGCAGAGTTACCCTGGCCACTTCTGTCCTCAATGCCCTACCCACTTATGCTATGCAAACCACGTTCCTACTTGCTTCCATATGTGATACTATTGATAGAAAAGTTAGGAGTTTTGTGAGGGGTTCCTGTGAGGGGAAGAGAAAGACACACCTTGTCTCTTGGGAGACCATCTGTAAGCCTGAAGAACTAGGTGGATTAGGTCTGAAGTCTGCCAGGAACACGAACATGTCTTATATGATTAAACTGGGATGGAACATGCTTAATAAGGACAATGACTTGTGGGTTCAGGTTTTGCAGGGGAAGTACTTCAAGCAGCAAAATGGAGAGATCTTATCAATGAAAAAGAGCAATCACTCGAATCTCTGGAAGGCCATTGTCAAAGGAATGAACATCATGAAGCATGCCACCTGATGGAGCATAAGAAATGGACAAACAACCAAGTTCTGGACACAGCCATGGGTTGATAATGACCTTATTTTGGAAGAATTTGCCCTGAAGGCCCTGACCGAGGAGCAAAAAAACTCTGTGGTGGCTGAATGGATCACTGAGGAAGGTGAGTGGGATTGGGATAAACTCAGAACCCTCCTCCCTGATGCTTTTCTCTCGGCTATTGAAGGCTTGGAGACTCCTGATCCGGAGCTTGGAGAGGACACCGCCATTTGGGGGCTGGAGAAGGATGGCCGCTTCAGACTCAAGTCAGCTTACAACCTGGTTGCTGAGGAGGAGGACAATGCACCTGACAGATGCTGGAAAGATCTTTGGAAATGGAAGGGCTCCAACAGAATCAAGTATTTCATGTGGATTGTACTACATGGTAGGCTCCTCACAAAGAAGGAGCCGACTAGAAGAAAAATCACAACAAACAGCCACTGCAATCTCTGCCCTGACCAGGAAGAAACAATTGACCACATTCTCAGGAGCTGCAGCAAAGCTCGAGTTGTGTGGGAAAAGTTCCAAAGCAGAACAGTGGCCAATACCATGAATCTCCCTCTGTAGGACTGGTTAATGATTAACCTAAGACAACAAGATACTGCAACTGAGTTTGGCATTATCATTTGGCAGCTATGGAAACAAAGGAATGAGGAGGTTATGGAGGGCAAAGTTTTCTCAAAGAATGGTTTATTTGCAAGGATTCAAGCATGGTTCAACATTGTTGGCAAGGCTCAGGAGAATGTCCAGCTGATCACTAAGTCTAATACTCCTACTGGCCACTTCAGGAATGTTAGTTGGGATCCTCCTATGGAAGACTGGATACCACTGCAAACTGATGGCTCGTTTCTTACAAACTCTGGGAAGGCGGCAGCAGGAGGACTGCTCAGAGACCACCTGGGCAGATGCACCTACGCTTTTGTTTGCAACCTTGGCTCGTGTTCAATCACTGCTGCAGAATTGAAAGGAGCATTGGAGGGCCTTAAAATCGCATGGAAAGCAGGATATAGGAAGGTTCAACTCAAGCTTGATTCCACGACTGCGATTGAGATTATCAAACAACGTCAGAAGGATGATCATATGCATGGTAGTTTAGCAAACCAGTGTAAGGTTCTTTTGAATCATGATTGGGAAGTTTGTATCTCCCATGTTTTTAGGGAAGCCAATTTTGCGGCTGATTTCTTGGCTTGCAAGGCTCACGACTTTAATTTTGGCACACATCCCTTCGATGTGTGCGATAGAGACATTGTACAATGGCTCCGCCATGATGTTGTGGGAACTTCCCACCTTCGTTTTTCTAGTAATGTGACCTAGACGCTGACTCACTCCTACTGTCACTCTAGAAAATGGCCAAGTGTAACCACTTCCTAAAGCGTAGTATAGCGGGTTTGGGTTTTATTGTCAACCCGGGTCCTAGATGTGATGACTACTCGGTGAATTCTCGTTATCTAGCAGTGAACTTTTAGTTCAAATTCAAGCAAACAAAAACACAAAGCAAGTAAACGGTTGTTGTCAAGTCAAGAGAGGTCACCCGGATATGGTTCCCCCTAGACTGCAGTTAAGTCGAATTGCAATTTACCAAGTTCAGTTTTCATGAAAATTATACTGCGGAAGGTTCTTAATTAGCCTGAAGTCTCGACTAAAGGTCTCCAGACCCTCTCAATCTGAGTCTCTAGCGGGCGACTAACCTCCACCGGAGTAAACAGATTGAGGCCCTAACGAACCAAACCTCCACTACCGAATTGACTTCGGTACAGAATAGCGAGTTGGCTCCTCGACTAAAGTCACCAATTCGCCACCTTCGATTAAGGATACTCTATCAACCTAGCCATATATTCTCATTCTAGGTCAAAGCAGAAACAACAGGAATTTGATCAGGATTCAAGTCATTCAATCATTCAAACCTCAATCGAATATAATCAATTCACAAACTCTGTACTTGGGTTCATACCTAGCATACAAATCTAGGGTTCCCCATACTCATATGAATGGGGGAACTACTCCATAGAGAAAGAAGCAAAAGCAGATTCAGACGCGGAAATCATACTGTGAAGACGGATTTATGCTCCTGGACGTTTAATCGGCACTTCTCCAAGCTCAAGCCGGGCTCCAATGGTGATGAAGATCAAGCTATGGCACTTGGGAACTCTGGTTCGTCGCTTTCTCTCTCAAAAACTCGGAACCCTTCAATGTTGGCCTTCTTCTTTCTTTTATCAGCTGCCTGGTCGCGATACCCGGTCGAAATACCCGGTCGGGTATTTCGGGTTTCGACCGGGTATTTGCAGAACGCACCATTTCGTTTAAGGGGAAAATCCCCGGTCTGACTTCATAATCCCCGACCGGGGATTTAAGCCATTTGCCCGGGCCCCCTTCTGTTTCTCACGGACGCCCGAAGTGAAAATTACCCGACCAAGGCCAGAAAATACCCGGTCGGGTATTCCTGCCTTTGGCCGGGTATTCCTGCCATTGGCCGGGTATTTTGGTCCAACAGCCTCCTTCGTCCCAACTTCGCTCCTTTCGACCCGGAACTCGTTTCTCCGCCTCGATTCCAACGCCGGGTCCAGAAATATGACATAAACACACAACCTAGCGTGAAATCGGCTTAAAACACGAGATTCCTCATCACGAACGGCTTCAGAATAGGGGTGAAAACCTGTATAATTATCGGTCTATCAGACGCATTGCGTCTATCTTTCTACCAAAAAAAAAAGAGAGGAGGAATTCAAAACTTTTTCTCCACTTTTCGTCAGTTCATTATTAAAATCCCCCACGAGTTTGATCTCATGGCATGACGTCGGGATCAAGAATAAACGCTAAACGCTGAAACCATCAATATCGCGATGGTAGAGGAATTACAGTCCATGCAGCTAGAAAACAAGGCAAGGTTTTCCCAAACCTTTCGACACCAGGTCCTTCACCATCTTTGCGATCGCAGTCTCGATCCTAACGCTATCACGTCAATCGCCCTTCCGGTATCATGCGATGTGGTTTGAGTTCGTGACGAAACCGCCACCATACTCTCCAGGGACTTGAGCAACAACTCGTCCTTGGATGCATCCTTGACCACCACGGTATCCTTCTGCTATTTCTGCGACTTGTCTGTCGAAGTAGTCATCTTCAGGAACCCCACGACAACCAAGTTTGATACAACTGTAAAAAATACGAATCTAGGCATGTACGTCTAGGGTTCATCGATTAGGGATTTGATAGAGAATTGAGAATTGTGGTGCGAATTAAGGATTTGATAAGGGGAGAAAGAGAAGTTGGGATGAGGAAGCAGAAGGCGGTCTCCAAGAGGAAAGGGAGGCCGACGACACAAGGGGGAAGAGAGAGAAAGAGAAGGGGGGGGGGGAGTTTGGCTAGGGACAGAGAGGGAGATGTCTTGGTTTTGTGAATAATTGTTATGTTATTGCTTAACGAGAAAATCCCCACTAACACATAATATATAATCCAATAAATTACTTATAACTACCCCAATAATTAATCCTAACAAAATACTCCCAAATAACCCCCAAAACCTACAAATAACATCCAAATACCCAAACAATAATAAAGCGACAAATAAGTCCAAAATTGTATTCGTGGTAGATACATAGTTTCTAACAAAAATTAACAACAATATAACCATGTGTTAAACACAAGGAAACTGCATCGCGTAATGCTAATAATTCAATCAAGAACAAGACAGTAATACCTTGATAATGTTTACCGAATGCAAACAGTAGAGTCCCAGTAGCAGAGAACCCAACAAATCCAATATCTCCAACACTTCCCGGGTGCCATGCCCATCAAAACGTACCAAAATCCCACCTTGTGGTGAAGAGCCATCATGAGATTCAGATTACAGAGTGGAAATACGTCGCATGCCCGTAGATCCCTCGACAGGAAGATGTTCGTCGTGGTGAAGAGCCATTGGAGTGGAAGCTGCTCGCCATTCCTCCGATTGGGCATCGTATTGCAGAAGCAGAGCACGACCATTCTGAGCATACTGGGCATGTATCGTCAATAATCAATCATTTAACCACTAGAACGGCTCAGACCGGTACAAACCCCCTCACCATCCTTCAAAACAAAACTTAACTTGGGAAGCAAGGGAAGGTTTCACAAGCATTTCATGAACAGAACATCACAAGGCAAACGAGGTAGACGGTGGGAGCAATTAAGTTCCGAAGAGAGTAATCGATACCCAATCTTGACTGCATAATCACCAGAAGGAGAATAATGTCATCTTATACTTAAAAATATTTAATCATAAAAAACATAAATAAAAAAAATCACCTACGTCTATTGACCTTCGTCCACGAGACCATTCCTTTCCACCTGCTCGCCCCATCACAACCCATAACCATTAACCAGCTCCAAAATCCACATCTCAAAATCCACTGCCTGATAGGCTGATAGAGGTGGCGATGGGTGCAATTAGGAGACGGAGCGATGGACTTGGGCTTGGCGATGGCGATAAGCCAAGTCGACCGCTACTTGTACGTAATTGACTATTTTGCTTATTTTATCCGAAGTGACTATTGTTGACAATAATGAGGATGTTGTGGCTATGAAGGTGCATATTGCCTAATAGTAAAGTATATAATAGTAATAATCCGCAATAAGGAACAACTTTGCCATTCACGTCCAAAATCAAAATCCCTAACATCCATCCAATAAACAAAACTGGTAGACAACGGATAAAGCACAACTCAAACAAACAAACTACCCCAAATTTACTGGGACACACCGAGCCATTTCGAGAAGATCTCGAACTCGGTGTAATCACTCTCCGAAATCATCGTTTGGTACCAGGCCTTCCCAGCAGCCTTGATAGCAGACGCCTCCTCCTGCCCAAGTCAGCCCCAAAGTGACAAAAACCAGAAACAGATTGAGCATTACTGAAGTTCAGAAACACACAATCGTAACAATGTATAAATGAAAGCATACATAGTTCTTATATCATATGCACTTTTGATTTTGGTAATGTGGGATATAACAATACCCGCCAACTCATTAACGTAATGATGAGGAGGTTTATACAAACACAACAATTTCAAACCCAAACCAGATCAAGTGCAAGCCAAAATGTGGGGAACAGAAGACAACAAATGCAAAGAACAAGCTTTGGCATCACCAGCAGATCAAACTGTAACCAATACAGGGCAATAGCAGTACACTGGTTCAAGAAATTCTTCCAATCCAACCTTAATGAAACCCTAGACCAGGATCAACTTAAACAGCTGATTGCGAATTCCAAACTGCTAACCCAAACACAAAAAAACATATCCAATACCTAGATCCAGCAAAAGAAAAGATCGACCCTACTACCATCCAGCAACAAAAAAGACTGGTAGATTGCACACATTATGAACAGGGCATTGTTAAAAGTCATACTCACTACATACCTAGATCCTATTGGATTAGATTAACAATGTGGAGAAAGCAATTACATGTAACCAAGCCTTTAACCCATACAACAATAAAGGAATAATAGACTAAGAGAAAGTGATCATATACCTTGCTGATGGGAGTCCTCTTCTTGTCGAGCTTCTCCTTCTTGGCCTTCACGCGTTGGGCCTCAGCCAATAAGGACATCCTCCTAGCGGTCTTGGCATACGGGTTCAACTTGAGCATCACATTCAAGTTCTTCAAAGGATTCTTCTTCAATGGTGCTCTCTTAACTTCCTTCTTGATGGGCTTCACCACAGACTGAACCTCATCAGAGTTGATAATCCTAGCCAAATCAGCATTCACCATCTTAGCCCTAGGCAGCACATAACCATTCTTCTTCTCAGCAGGCTTGTCGAAGGAGCCGTAGATGGAGTCAAGCTTCTCAAAAGCCGACTTAGTCCAGATGACAAATCGACCCAAGTGGCCACCAGGGGCAAGCTTCAAAAGATTCAGACGATCGACATTGGCCACCTCCACCCCAGGAATGTTGCGGAAGGCCTTCACCAGCTTAGCGCCTTCAGTTCCATACACAACCAAAGGTCCCTTGCGAGAAATATACCTCCTGTTCCTCATCTTACCTTTTCCAGGACGAATCCCCACGCTGTCCTTCGCCTTCTCAGCATCGGCATAAGCTCCGATCTCCTTCAGCAGCTTGATGGCGGTGGATGTCTTCTCGACCCCCTCGGCAGAGTCGTTAATGACCAGGGGCAGCTCGGGGACAGTGTCGATCCGGTGGCCGCGAGCCATCACCAGAGAAGGGATAGCGGAGGCGGCGATGGCGGAAACGACGGCGTACCTCTTCTGGTTGACGTTGATCCTCCGGTGCCAGCGGCGCCAGATCTTGGTCGGAGCGAACATGCGACCGCCTCGACACATGTTTCCGAAGGCTCCCTGACCGGCGCGGTGAGTTCCTCCACCGGGAACACGGGGGATACGAGAGACAGCACGGCCGGTACCCCAGGACTCGGCGGAGGTCTGGTGGCCGGCCTTCTTGGAGACGGCGTAGGGTTGCCGGCTGTTCTTCGACATGTTAGAGTGAACAAAGTTCACGACGTCGGGTCTGATAGAGGCCCTCATGACGTCGGGTAGAGGAACGGTGGCCGGAGAATCGGCGGCCATATCGTTCATTGAAGGTAGGGCTTGGACGGAGACGAGGGGACGGGCGGCGGCGGCGGCCATTTTCTGGTTTGGCGAAGGAGTGTTCCTCTGCGGAATTGCTACTTCCTCTAGGGTTTTGGGAGGCAGGGTTGAATGGAAGCGTTGGAATTTATACTGAGACTTTTCTGGATCCCTTTCTCTCATCTAGGTCCAAACCTTACCAGTTCGTGAAAAACCGGCCCGCAAAGGATATAGATCCTTTAGTTCTGTCCATTATGCTAGGCCCAAATCTAACTTCCATTTTATGATGGGTTTAATCTTTCGCTTTATGGGCTTCAAAACGCTGTGCAGGGTAAACTTTCATCCTTTTATTTTTATATACATATTTTATGTTTTATATTAATAACTAGTTCTATGGGGCTTGAATACCGTTACAAACCCCGCCTACAAAATCCGGCCGTATCATCGTATCACGCATCGTACGGCTTTGTACCTTACCCGCTTTTGTTCTATGGCTAAGCCAATTTATTAGTCAACGGACTAAGAGATTAGCAATCACACAATCCCACAAGGTAGCCAAGTCATAGGCGCAATATCTCTTTTGATTTGCGGTATAACCCATGAAACGCACGCATGACCACAATCGTCAAATATACCCAAACGATGATGGGTGTCCTTGCAGTAAACAAGACAACCCATGACACGTAAATGATCATAACTAGTAGATTTCCCAAATATTTCTTCATAAGGGGCTTTACTCGTGGCCTTCGTAGACAACTTGTTAATCAAATAGGTCGTGGTGAGAATACAATTGCCCCTAGAAAACGGATTGGGAGAGATGCCTTAAATGTGAGTGCCCAGACTATTTCAAGGAGGTGGCGATGCTTATGCTTCACGATGCCATTTTATTGATATGTGTCTATGCACGTCATTTGAAGTAGAATCCCTGTTTGTTCATAGCTTGCATTAGTGTCGTATTGAATTTCAGCTTGTTATCTGCCTCGATCCGCTTAACATCTTTACCAAACTGAGTACGAACAAGCTCACATAATAACTTAATGTAGTGACCAACCTTAGAATTGAAAAAAATAAGATAAACCCAAACACCCCGACTAAAATCATCAACAATGGTGAGAAAATAATGAGATCCACTGAAAGACGGAGTTTGATATGTTCGCCAAATACCCATGTGCAACAATTCAAATCAAGAACTGGTCCGAATCGAGCTAATAAGAAAAGGTGTATGAACTTGTTTTGCTCTAGAACAAGAATGACAAAGTTCATTTGAAGAATGAGATGAAAATAAAGATACTTCCCAAGCCGGGACATGACTGTGGTTGAAAGATGGCCCAAACGCGCATGCCAAATGGTCTCTAGCATTCCACGCTTCTTCGACACTGTATTAGCCTGTGCTTGCAGACACCCAAACAACCTCAGATACTACAACCCATCGCGGATCTCCCCCTTCTCAATCACGCTCTTGGAGAGTAAGTCCTATATCACGCAAAAATCACCAAGGAAAATTAGAGCAACACGATGCTCTTGACATAGCTGGCTCACGGATAATTGATTGCATTTAAATTATGGAACATGCAAGACATGACTCAACCTTAACCCTTCATTGAGTTGCACCGAACCAACACGTTTGAACGAGAATACTTTGTCTGTTTGGAATGAGAACCAACTGACAATAACATGAGTTGTGCGTGACTAAGAGGGACCCATCCATAATGATGTGTTCATTGCAGCCCGAGTCTATATTAGCCATTCGAGTTCAAGAGTAAAAGAAAACGTAACGGTCATGTTACTCGTAGGATCAGAAGCTGGTTGACTTGCTCCTGAGAAGAAGCATTTCAGCTGATCAAGTTGCTGCAAGGTAAAGCCAGTGACTGGACTCAAATCTGCTCGAGGCTCTTGAGCTTGACCATTATCACGCATGGCATCCCGACCAAATTAATCAATATAACATCACATTATCATTAAGTGATTTTTTCCCCGGTTAATGCATCAATTCGCAAATGATAAATACATGCAACTAATACAGTTATCTTACAGTCAATAGAAATATTCACTTAACAAAAATATATGTCAACGTTATGATGTTAATGAAGTGTTGTATTTGTGTGAATTGACTCGGTCTCTTAGCAATTATCACAGGCTGAAAAAGACCTTCATTTCATGTTTTCATTCAACATAATGTATGAATTTATCTAAATTAAGCATCCATATGTTGTGGTCTACACTCTACAATTACAAATATACAACATATGAACAATATTAAGTTTTAGTTTTTATAAGTCTAAAAGGGAGGAAAATTTGACTCTTGAGTGGTTATGCAAATTATTAAGTATATGTATATAATATATATTAGATTAGATATATGACTAATTACTTAATTGGTTAATTTGGTTTGACTCGTTAGGAGTGTCTAAAACCAAACCAAACCAAACCAAATCACCTAAACTAAACAAGCTAAAATGTTTAACCAAACCAATTATCCAAATTAACCAAACCAAATTATCCAAATATATTACCGATTAAAACAATTACCACAGTAACCACACCATTTAAACCGTGCGTTCCCATCCGCACCAAATCATATATCTAAACGATCTGATTTCACTGCATTCGTTAAATTTCGATCTAATATGTGATGCGGTCCAAACGACATGCTTTCCAGTGCGGTGCGGTAACTTGCCCACCCCTAGGTCCGCCCGAGGAGGACGGAGAGGCGTCCGTGGGCAGGAGAGACGACGTGGAAGAATGAGAGGTGAAAGAGCACCGCTCGTACATATTTGAATGGATAAGACACGGTTGTTTGTGGTGACTGGCGGCGTCCAAATTCCCCCGGTCCGCTTGCCGCTCTCACTATGCTTCCTTTTTCTAATCTTTCGTCAGTCATTTTTAGCTTGAGAAAAGCCGGTGGGGAAATCACTCACCGGAATCCATTTTTTCTTCTTCTTCTTCTTCTTCTTCTTCTTCCGGTTAGTGTATGCAGCAAGAGAAATGAATATTCAAGCTCGACTCCGATCCATCATCACCGATCCCTCCCTTCGCTCCTCGTCTCCGTCTCCATCTTCTCATTCCCACCACCATTGTTATCAATCTTCCAGCCGCCGGTGCTCTCTTTTGGCTCCACCTCACTGCTCCAGAAACCCCCCTCCACCACCTCGAAACGGCGACGGTCAGGGTAAGCGCACTCCTCTCTTTGTTTCCTCATTCTTCAAGTTGGGTTTGTGTTTGGGTCGTCATTTGGGCGATTCTTCTGCTCGGCTCGTGGATAGAACAGAAAACAGAATTCTCGCCATTAAAGCAGGAAACCCACTTCAGGGGAGCTTTGAATTTGGGTGATCCAGTGAAGTTTGTCAACTGGGCTGTCTGAAATTTGACTAATTCCATTGTAAAAAGAGTGTTCAGGGGCGCTTAGAACATTACTTTTGCTAAATTGGAATTCTTTTATAAACTAGGTGATAAATCCTCGACTGACTGGGACAAGGCTTGGTCCAAGTTCAAGAAACAGGGGAAGAAAACCTTGTTCTCACAGTTCTCCCCAAACAAGTATGTGACGTGGAACCCCAAGCCTTCAGACTACCCGCTGTCGGAAGAGGTCGATCCCATCAAGAGAACTGAGAGGTCGAACCTCAGGCTGTGGACGAGTCCAAGGTTCACCCTCGTTGGAGCCATTGTCATAGTTTCCTTCCTTCTCATCTACACCATTCTTGCGCCACTCAAGTGACTTGACTTGACTTGACTTGATCCAGCCAATATTGTTTTCGTGCGCTCAAAGGAGGGGGGAGAAGAAGCACTATCCATAACAGAACAGGGGGATTTGTAAATCATACCATAATGTAAATGCGAGGATTAAAATCAGTTTAGCTAGCTGGCTAGCTACTGTGTAATCTCTTACTGTTCTCTGTGTTGATTAGACAATGTAAAGCTTTGATTAAGCGTATTCAGCTACTGCCGTCAATATGTGGTTCGAGACCTGGATTAGGGCTGAAAATTGCCATGTCCCTTTCCTGATCCTGTCTGACCCGATTTATCTGAAGGGTCAAGATGTATAACTATCTCATCTCGTCTCTGTCTCCTTATTGATCCTGTCTGACTCCCGTTAGAAGGCACATGAATTAAAAACAATACAAACTCCAAAACAACAATTTTAAACAATATTTGCCCCGTTTTCATCGATATCGGCATCCTCGTGATATGTTGATAAAGGTGCAAGATCGATCTCCCCCTCAATCGCAAGCTCTAGTTCTTGGATGATTTTTTTTCCCAAGAAAAGAAGAGAGAAGGTTCAATAGTGCGGAAGGCAAACAGAAAATGTCATGACAAAGTAAGAGACGAGAAATCTGTCAAACAATAAGGGCCCAGAAAAAGTGACATCTCCAAAAGTTAGAAAAGTGCCTAACAGAAGGTGTGAGAAGTTGAGCGGTATGTTGGTAGTGGCATAAGCGAGGACCATAGACTAAAGGGAGTACTCTTTCTAAATCTTCAAAATGAGGAAGAAACACTATGGTAAGAACATAATGGAAAACACAAAGCCAAGTTTGAAGAAGATTCACACGAACAAAGTAAGTAGATGATGGACGATGGCCAGTTATACGAGCAAATTTTGAAAGGAATGTTAAAATCGTACTGCCATAGCTCAGGCCTCTGAATGATGTGACAGAGATTCTCCGATGGGGGGATTATCAAGAAAATGACCTAAATCATATACTGAAATAGTGAACATGGTTCTTACTATCATGTATTCAATTATTCTATAGTTGGGTATGTTCATCCCACCACGATACCCTTTTATACTACAATGGTATGCTCTTATGTAATATCAAACAATACTACCATTATATAGACTGATACTAAATGCCTCAAAAAAATTTATTCCAAAAATATATCAAAGTGAACATCATTTTGATAAGCACAACTTTTCTGGAAAAAAATTCCACTCACAACATAAGAGAAGTGACACTCAGATAGTAGATTATTCATAGTTGTGCACCACAAAGTTATGCACCACTCTCCACTCCCCAAATTTGCAGGGATTTAGCATCACTGATTTCGTTCTACATATCATGCCTGCCATTTGAGAGGGGAAGAAAGAACATGTTCTTGCTCTTGCCTTCTTGGTCGAAGGTCGTTTTAACTGGAAGTCTGGAACACCATTATATCTATCCACATAGAAAGAGCAACACTGCTACCTTAATTGTCAAACTTTCGTGGAAACACGTGAAGTATGTCTGCTGTGCAGGGCACAGAAAGATCCTTAAGTCGCTCTCACTTAGGGACAAACTCAATCAAAGAATAGTTGATGAGATTGTTTGCGAGGCAGACTGTAGTGCAAGCATGCGGGTAGACCTTGACTTCCAAAAAGAAATATTCTTTGTAGCTCTCTTAGTTTGTTCTCGCTTACCAAATCCAAGCTATGACTTACAATTCCCTGTTCTTGTCTCTGTTTTTCTGGGTCCTGAGATGTAGCTCCACCTCATTATTACAACACGGTGAAAACAGACGTACAAGACAGGATAATTGGTTTCAAACAATATGATAAGCCGGACTTTTCTTGTTCTAGGCCTAAAATATGTTGAAAATGAACAGGTCTATTAACAATCTATAGAGTTGTTAGCTTAAAGATAAGTAAAAAACCAGTTAATTTTAATAAATCGAGTTATTGTGAAAGGTTCAATAATGGATCTTGTACCACTCATTAACAATAAATGCCAAAATACTAAGGGTTTTGAACATAATAGCTAATTGATAACTTGAACAAGTTACCTAAAAAAAACAAATCAGCTCTGATAACACGTCATAAACCAACATGTAATAACTCGAATCATTGGAATTCATCTATGGTATTTAACCAGTTCTTTACAGTACAAATCATGAGTTCATTATCATGTTCATGTTCTTTCCTCCTATCATCTGGAATTGGTCCACATCCATCACTGTCATCAAGAGACAACAATCAAAACCCAAAAAGCTATTAGGTCACTCTGTTTCCTTTTAATCTTTCTGCCAATGAACTTTTCCGTTCACTTAATGTAAGCCTTTAGGCAACAAATTGTGACCCAAGAATCACGTCAATGCTCCTCGGACCTCAGTCCTTAGTCCTTACCACTACAGGACTCTGATTCCAACTCTTCGGCATCCCTTTGTTGTGTATAAATAAAACCTCCCTCCCTCCCTCCCTCAGCATCCCACATTTTCTGTATATGCATACTTTGAGAGAGAAGAGAACAGAGAAAAGCAGAGTCATCATTTTTTATTTTCCGCACCTTTTTGTAAATTGCAATGGCCCTTACCTTCATTCCCCAGATAGCAGCTGAAACCCACAAGAGGAGAAGAGCCTGCAGGTTACCTCCAAGGAGAGGCCAAATCAAAGCGACAATGTTATCCAAGTTCCTGGATTGGATAGCTAGCTTCAGAAGCAGCAATGGGTCAGGGAAGTGAAAAATGCAGCAATGGCTCTGCCGTCTCAATCATTGGCTGAAGAAGCTCTGTGATTCTGTTCACGCCATTGGAATTGGAACGTTATCTCCTTCTCTCCCTTTCTACTTTCAGTTTGACATATTAATCAGTGTGAGAATGGAAGTTTGCATTGCCACCTGGTGGACTTGCATCCCTGCTCATCAACTAGTAATTAATGTCGCAGTTGGATTCTTAATCTCTTTATATAATTTTTAAGTCTGAGATTTCCATGCAAAGCTGGCGTCTGTTCGGTCTTCCTAGGCTGCACCGGCTGGTGCATTTCCAGTTGTCGGTAACAAAGCAGAGAACCAGAAACTCGAATGGAAAACACAAGAAATTGAGAGAATGGAAACTAGGCAATTAATTGTCTGTCTTGTCTTGTCTCCTCTAGTCGGGCAAATTCCTCATTTTATGGATTAATGTTATGAAAATAACGAGGAAGAGGACATATAGAAAAGGATGAATTTTACAATGCTTTAAAGTATTGGTACTTTAGTTTTTGTATTTATGGTACAACTTGAAATTGTAGCATTAACATTATAATACAACTTCGAGTTGTACTTATACTCTTTTATAAAATTACTTTATGGTATAAACTAAAATTGTACGTTTATGTTATGGTACAACTTTCAAATTCCCTTATAATATAACTTTGATTTGCACTTTTAACGTTAATAGCACAAATACTTTAAAAATAGTAGAAGTGCTCATAAAAAAGAAGGGTGGAGAGAGAGAGAGAAACATAAGAGAGAAGGGAGAATAATATTTCTTTATTCTTAGTATAATGATGTGCTCTATTTATACACAACTTTATTACCTTTACATTCTAATATCAATACATATAATTGAGAGATAATGAGGCATAAAGAATAACTCAAATGTTAAGCAAAAGGATTACAATCAATGGTCATTCACATACAATAAATATTTATATAATACTCACATTGGATAACCATCAAATGAAAGTGTATCTCGTTAAAATCTTATTAGAAAAAATTCAATGGGATAAAAATCCTACCAAAGAAAAAAAAAGGAGTATGTACTGATTGCATTACGCTGTCTCGGACCGACCATTAAAAACCTTACCGGGAAAACCATGTGTAAAGGAAAATAGAGTGTAGTGCGTGTATGTTCTCTTACATAATAACATTTGGTCATTTCTGTAAGTCGTTGAACTCCAATTTTCACCAACAAACTTTACAAAGATAGTCATCGAGAGTGACCCTGTGAACAAATCTTCCAGATTATCAATTTGATGCATGACAATTATAACATTTTTCATACATGATCATCAAGATCATTTCCACTAGACATAGCCGACAACCATAATCACAAATATATTCATAACTTTTTACTGTAGTTTGTTTTCGATCTCCATGAAATATCCGTATCGCCATAAGTTTAGAAATAGCTCATCTCCAATCGACCAATATGGGGTAAAAACAATTATCTTGGATTTGAATAGTCAACAAGAACTCTCTTTGATAATATCATAATAGAACAACCTTATATATTGATCTCCGAAGGTAACAAATTGAATGTTCAACTACATTCCAATGCCCTCTAATGAGTGAAACATTCAATCTTGCTAATATATTAATACCAAAATTATATGGTGTTTGAGTAACAAGATACATTAGTGTTATAATGACATCAACTTACGATACTTCAGGACCTAATAATTCACTTTTTTCTTGATGCCTAAAAAGATCTTTGGTCACTTCTAATGATCTTACAACCTTATGTTATTTAGTCAACATAATTTGTTCATGCAAACTCAGTTTGACACTTTTTTCAATATTACATTTCTCGTCCATAAAAGAATCTTAAATCCTTCATTTTAACTTATTTCTTTAACCAATCAAGTGGTATAGGAAGCTATTTAGGAGTTTCAATAATAGTAATATCATCAACACTATATGGAATCGTTACGAAATCATTATTGACCTTTTTTCTAAATAGCAATAAATCTTAGCTAATACAAATGCGGGAAACCTGCCATGAAAGACACAAACAAAAATCACGTTAGGACTCAACAAAACACACCCATAAACCACAATATGGAATCGTTATGAAATCATTATTGACCTTTTTCTCTAAATAACAATAAATCTTAGCTAACACAACTGCGGGAATCTTGCCATGAAAGACACAAACAAAAATTACATTAGGACTCAACAAAACACACCCATAAACCACAACTCATACACTAAAGTCAAATTATAAACTAAAATACCGGAAACTTATATTAATGACACAAATATACATGCACAATGCAAATGCTATAATGCCATATATCCATATATGGTCTTTCCGGGCTCACTGAATCTCTTGGTAAGCATACACCTAGACAAGCTTCTCACATTCGTCTATATTTTCACTATCACTCTATATATGTTCTCTAGAACTTTACTTGTTTTCTTCATATAAATAGACTACGGATAATTAGCATAAATTATCACATAACTATGCATTTAGTACAAAACGATAGTAAAACTTTAACTTTGCACGTTTCAATAAAATATATTGGACAAATAACAAAATAGTCATTCCGTCCATTTCCATCAAAAATTCTGTTAACTATGTCTAGTCAATACACCACGTCACCAAAATTATTAATAAAAAATCAACTAACCAATCGATCCAATCCACCAAAACCCAAGCCACCACGGAAACCAATCCCACCCTTGAATTTCCATGTCGTCGTGCACCTCAACCTCCGATTCTAGTAAAACTGGTGGGTCGACCCCAGAGTTGGTAACCTTGATAACAAAAGACAAAAGTAATAATTCTACATGTTTTGATTCTCTCTCTTCTTTACAAATCCTCTCACTTCTCTCTGTGCTTCCATTTTCCAGATTTATTGAGTGTTGTCACCGGTTTCACTCCGACGACCGGCGACAACCCTCCTATGTTTCCTTGTCGTTTTTGCTTGCTTTTCTTCATTTCCCCCGTATTTTTCATGTGTCCCTTCCGCTTTCTTTTTCAAATTCTTGCCCTTCTGCGTCTCCTTGTGAGATGGTTAGCTTCAGTTCCAGCCTATGCTTCTGATCTTCATATCTAGATGTGCTTTTGAGGCCTTTTCTTAGAGATCAAAGGGGGTATAGATCTCAGATCGGTAGTTTGTCTTCTCATCTTGAAACCTCCCATCTACCTTCTTGCTTCACCCATTGCATCGGTCTTTTGAATATGCAAAAGGCCGCTCACATGCAACGGCCTGGAACTGGTTCTTAGATGCTGAAGGCAGGGAGGCATCATCTTGAATCTCATCTCTCTTCTCCAAGCTTGTTTGTAGTAGTTTTATTGTCTGTGTTCCTCGTAGATGTGCAGGTCCCTCGTCGTGGCTTTGGACAGGTCATTGCTCGGTGATGTGCTAGTCGGCGGTTGGGTTCTTCAACAACCCTGTTATGATCGTTGGCACTTGGCAGTGACATGTTGGAGAAGTGATGACATACTAGGGTTAGTGATGGCAATGGGGTGGGGCGGGACAGGTACCTTAATACCCATGCTCCGTTCCACGCTATTGCGGGTCAAGGCGGGTAAAACCTACGGGCATGAGGCAGGGTGGGGCTGATCGAGCACGTACATTTAAACTTAACTTTTTACGATAAAACGAATTGGAAAACACTTTATGAATGAAAAATAATGATAATAGAATGAGTAATTGGGCCTGACAAGTTGAAAGATAGACTCTAGCTAGTTGAAGAAAAATTAAAATAACAAAAATATATATAGATTTTGTAAGAAAGTGAGATATAATAGATAGCAGATACACATACCCACTTCATGCATTGCGAGCCTGTTGGTTTTAAGAAACTTTTGTAATGGGCCATGTGGGACGAGCTATTTTCCCTTTGCTAACTGTTGCATCTTTTCATGGATGTCTAACTACTCACTATTAAAGTGCAATATATGCAACTTTTTATTTATAATAATATATAGGGCTAATACCACTAGAAAACCCGAACTATTAACTTTGTGCCATTTGTGTCCTAAAGTATCCGATATGACATTTGTGTCCTAAACTATTTTTCTGTTATAGTTGACCGACTTTGACCGTTAGTATTTAACAGAAAATCCAGTCAGCGTTGACGTGGCATCTGATGTGGAATTTTAACTCCAATTTTTATTTTTTTCCCATATCAGTTAACAAAATCATTGAAATAAAAATTAAAAACTCATATCCATCGTCTTCTCCGACCTCTCCCCTTCTCGTCGCACCTTACACGACCTATCCCCTTCTCAAACCCTCGCTTCCACATCATACAAGTCGGTTAGGGAGCGCCGACGAGCCCACAACCGAGCTTCCACGAAACCCCGACGAGCAAGAGCTTTGCTTCTTCTCTTCCGAACCCAAACCCTAAAATTTGGGGATTTTTTGCATTCGGCGGTGGACAGGGGCCGTGAACCAATCCCTACCTGTGAGTGCTATGGCTCCTCGTCGGCCACAATTTCGAGCCACAAGGCAATGTCAAAGCGAGACAACAACACCCCCAATTTTGTCTCCCGGATAACAATTAACCTAGCGCCGCGCCGGAGAAGAAGCTATCTCTGTTAGCCCGCCGCCTCGCCATCCTTGAGAAAGCTGCCACCAGCTTGGGTACTCTATGATTCATCTGGGCCACCGTCGATTTCTAGGAGGTGGGTGAAGGGGATGGGAGAGGATTTGAGCCGGTGGATTGGAGGATGGATTGGGTGACGAGGGCGTCAGTGCAGTGGACGACATTTGACGAAGGAGAGGGGAAGGATCGGCGGCGGTTGAGAGATTGGAAGTTGAGGGAAATTCTCGCCTTTGGGAGATGGCGATTGTGAGATGGGAAGTTGAGAGAAGTTGGGAGATGGGAAGTTGATGAAGGAGAGGGGGAAGGATCTCCGCCAAACTCAAATTCTCACCGTCGGGGAACTCCCCTGCTTCAGGTGAAAAGGGTTTCTCTTTGGGACGTTTGGGAATATATTTTCAATTAATTTGGAGTGTGTATATATATATATATATAATTAATTTAAAATAAAAGTATGAGTTGTCAATGACGTAGCATCTACGTGGCTGCCATATCAACAAAAGTCAATATTAAAGTTGACTTCCGTCTGGTCAACCGTTATCTATAACGGTCAACAAAATTGTTAGTACATAAATGACACACAATTACCATATGTTGGGACACAAATGTCATATCGGATACTTTAGGACACAAATGGCACAAAGTTAATAGTTCGGGTTTCCTAGTGGTATTAGCCCTAATATATAAAAAGATAAGAACATTAGAAAATAAGTCTATAAACCCTCACCCAACGCCCAACCACTACTGCAATCTGTAATAACGATGACCTTGTTGGGATGAAAAACACAATGTGGTAACTAAAGTCATCAAACACGTTTACGATTGCCACTAAACTCAACACCACTTGACGCATTTTAGGAACAACTCGGCCTCCCTCAAAAAGTAGCACTAATGTACTAAACCACCGAAACTCCAATGAAAAGTACGCCACCCATCACTCTCATCAATTACTAAACCACCGGACACGACACTTCAAAGCAGACAGAGCGCACATAATTAAACACTGATGTGGATCTCCACCATTATGTTATTCTGGTACTTGGCCTATGGACTCACTTTTCAGAACTCTTTCTAGTCTGTCGCAATAGCTATTAATAATGAAATTGGCCCTTACCGCTTCACATTCTCAAACCCAAAATGCAGAACTGAGGCAAAAAAAAGGTAGAGAGAAAATAAACATCTCGGAGAGGCAATGCAGACTGCAGGGCCTACCACCCTTTTTCGCTTCATTTCGCATCACCCGGCTCTTGGATTTTGATCGATGTTTTCGCCAAGCTAGCTTCCAGCTCATTGAGTTCATCTAGGTCCAGCTCATCATCGTCATCATCGTCAAGAAGAACATCATCATCATCATCTCCATCAGCTTGTGCTGAAGTGCTTGGCCCCTGAGTTTCAGAATTCTGGCTGCTCTGAGTCTTGGTGGAAGAGAAAACAAGAGGAAGAACAATAGTGAGGACCATAATTCTAACACTTAAAAAGCTACATAAACCTCTGGTGAGAACTGGGAGGAGAACACTAGGATGTGTCTTGGCTGAGTGACATCTCATGAGACAGTGACAGCAATTCTAGACAGATTAAGGAATCTTAATGGTTGCTTCCATCTTCTCCCATCAAAACAATGCATTTCTTTTCTGCTTTAGTACAGTATCCTCTAGTTCAAATCCTAAATCTTCTGGAAAACCACAGTAAGGGGAAGGTATACCTTTGTTTCAGTAGTAACATCAGGCTCTTCATCCCTTTGGTATTTGTCATATGCCTCAGCATCATCCACAAACAAGCTTGCATCAGACAGAAATAGTTCACGCCCACTGCAATAGAAACAAAGAGGAGCAGCATGAACCATCAAGAAAATAAAAACACAAATATGCATGTATGAAATATCTTTTATGTCAATGACTCTGGATCTAGTCCTCTGTACCTCATCCGATCATTCTTAGCCCTCTCTGCTCTAAGTGCATCCAAACTAGCATCCCTTTCATCCATCTTCTTCTTTTTCCATTGCATGAACAAGTCGGGGGTCATGGGGGTTGTAGTTGCAACTTTAGCACGCTAAACCAAGAAAAGAGGGAGTTGTTAAAATTACAAAATAAATTATCACAGATAACAGCTACTCCATTGAAAAGATGCTAGTTATATAAAGGGAAAAGGCAGCAGTTCAAGTAAACATAAATATGTATGTCAAACCTGATTCTCAATTTCCTCCTCAATGGGCAACTTTTCGGACTCTTCATCAAGTAGAGCCTTCATTTGAGATTTTAAGATATACCCTGGAGGAAGAGCATGGCGGTAATGGCATTCTTTACCACCATTTGGACAGACCCAAAACCATCCATATTGTTTCTTCTCTACAGCATCCAGGAAATGTTTGCATACCTGTTTGAGAAGAATCAAGATGCGGTTATGTCAAATGAAATGGCAAATATCATCTGTTAAATAAAAATGACAACTCCTCATCATACAATTAGTCAAATTTACATCAACAACTTGATCTTCATCTTATGCTTGCGCCATTGTGAGCTAAACCAAGAAGATATCACATCTTGAAAGTGTTACTCCCTATAGGCATATAGGACATAAGCAACAAGAACGAGAAAAACTCAAAAGATGTGCTTCCTAGTCCACAAGTACCCCCCCCCCCCCCCCTACCCCCTCTCTGGTACTGCACATCCGTAGGCTGGTAATCATAACACAGATCAAAGAATGAAGGGCACACACACACACCAGAAGGAAAATACGATAAGCAGTCATGCCACAATACTGGGAGACACACTACTCATTCATTGATAGTGGATGATGCTTAAGAAATATACCAATCTCTTAGTCACCAGCACAATAATGAAAAGCTCAAGGACACTAAAGTTCAAGGTGCTCAAACAAGCTCAAAACGAAAAGCTAAACTGCCTTATTACTCCACAAAGCATAGATACATCCTTCATTGAGAGAGGACACTTACAATATCAGTAGGTTTGTTCTGATTATACTCGCTGTTCTTTGATGCTACAACCTTCTCCAGAGTCTCTTGATCCCAATCGTCCATCGTATCTTGTCAGAAGTACAACCAAAGACAAGTCAGAAACATAACGAATTTATAGAGGTAAAGTTTAATAACACGGAGAGACATGAAATGCTATGAATATTCTGTAGCAAAACAACCTTCATCACGCTTATCACTGTAGATATCAATTTTTTCCCCTTTCCTTTGGATATTGAGATCGTGGGAGAACTTGCATTTGAAGCCCTTTGTGCACTGCCCCACTTTGAAGAACTCACACAAAATAGACTTTGGATCAACGCCTACAGCAGACAAAATGCATCAGTTCAACAGGGAATTCATCAGGACTGATGGAAACAGGAGAAATTTTGAGGAGCCCAGGGTAGAAGGAATGAAAATATTACCAGGAGGAACCTTGGGCTGGCTTACAGCAATCTTGAACAATTCGCTTAACTCCTTCTCTTTGGCCTTTTCTTCCTCTTTCTTTTTCTGTTAATAAAAAGACCCAGAGATGATAAAGATGAAGACTTCACTACTGATATAGCTACAACAGCTAAAATTTCCAGGTACCCATAACAGTTAAGATTCATCGATGGCATTTATCGACAACCCAATGGTGGGAATCGGCAGAAAAGAGGATTTGGGAAATCATCGGAACGGAAGAGAAAATAATGCAGAGAACCCGGGACGCGATTAATCGAACCTTAGAAGCGAGTTTGCTTGGGTCAACTTTCGGCTGCACGGATTGCTTGAGACTCTGAACGTATTTCTGAACATTTTTGCTCTTGTTCTTGTTTTTCAGCCCGAATGTCTTGTCTTCTACAATCTTCTGCTTCTTCGCCAGGTCGGCTTTTGAGGCCTGCTTCGGCGGCATCTCTTAATTGAATTGGGGAAAGACCTTGTTTCCGTTATTGAACCTCTGAGCTCCGCCCAGAGACTATGGAGCTGCGCTGCGCCGATGATCGGAGAGCTTCCAGGTGATTTGATAATGGATTCGCGCCCCTCTGGTTAGGGTTCCGTCTATTTACCTGCGTTGCCTGAGATTGGATTGGAGTGACCAACAAATACGTTAATTATTAATAGTTTAATATAAGATATATAGTTACTGTTGCCTAAGAGTAGTTTAGCTATCAGTACCACGTAAACCTTCCATCCGGTTGGGCCCGGTGATGGGCTATTTCTAACTGCTGAAATTTGGGCCGTGTTTGTATTAATGTAAGGCCCGGGATCTGATGGGTTTACGGCTTCCAGTATTTTTGGGATATGGTAGGTCCTGATGTTTGTTCGGCTGTTAAATCCTTTGTTTGTAAGGTTCATATGTTACGCTCTTTTGACCATACTTGGTTAACTCTTCTACCTAAGATGGTTAATGTGGAAACCTGTGCTCAGTTAAGGTCAATTGGTCTTTGCCAAGTATTATACAAGATCATTTCGAAAATATTGACTGCTCGTCTAGGTGCAATCTTGTTGGAGGTGTTTAGCACATTCCAGAATGGATTTTTGAAAAAAACCGGTCTATTATTAATAATGTGTTAATCAGCCAAGTGGTCAAGAAAGGTTTATGGTCGTTAAATTGGATATAGAAAAGACATATGATCGGATTCAATGGCTCTTCTTGTTTGGTGTGATTCGAAAATTGGGATTTCTCCACATCTGATTGATTTACTTTACAACTGTGTCTCCTAGACATCTATATCGGTCTTGTTGAATGGCACTTCTTATCTTATGGGTATTTTCAACCCACCCGCGGATTGCGTCAAGGGGATCCACTCTCCCCTTTGTTGTTCGTGATTTGTACGAAAGGGTTTACAACCATGCTATCTCAGGCTCTCATTCGCCGTGATCTGAAGGAGGTTCGATTTAATCATCAGTGCCCCGTCCTTTCTCATCTAGTCTTTGCAGATGATGTTTTCTTCTTTCTCAGGGCTTCTCCAACCGATTGTAGTATGTTGCTTCATTTGTTACATCGTTATGAGGCTATAAAGTGGACAACGTGTAAATCTTGCCAAATCGGCAGTTGTTGTCTCTCGAAACACCTCTACTGCAGAGGCGACTGAGTATGGATCCTTGTTGCATATTGGTGCAATTGGGGTCACTGATAAGTATATGGGTTTTCCCTCCGTTATAAAAAGGTCTAAACGGGCCACTTTCCGTTGTATAGAAGAGGTGGTTGCAAAAAAAGTTACAAGGTTGGAAACGCCAATGTTTGTCCCTAGCCGACCTGGAAACGTTGATCAACTTTGCGGTCTCTGCACACCAGTGTATGCTATTTCATTTACCATGGGTTTCTTGGCATCATCTATGTCTTTCCAAGGCTAATGGGTTTGTTAGTTTGTGAAGGGAAGAACGACCACTAGGACTAGACAGGCTTATAGGGGTTTGGGGTTCCGTGATTTTGCTGTCTTTAATCAGGCGTTGCTGGCTAAACAATGTTGGCGTATTTTAACTAATTCGTCTTCGCTCGTAGCTAAAATTTGAATGGGCGCCTCACACATCTTTCCTCAATGTTGCTAGGGGAACCAATTCATCATGGGCATGGCAATCCTTGCTTCATGGTCGTGAATTACTACAACATGGCTTGCATTGCGAAGTTGGGTCAAGGAGTTCCATTGATGCAATTTTGAACACATGGGTCCCAGATTGGACACAGTTTCGACCACAGATTCGACTAGCTGATATCTAGTGGATCATTACAATTTGTCTCCTATTTTATCTCCTTACAAACTTTCTCTTGGGATGTCAGCCGCTTGCGTGAATTTTGTGATGATGTCGCTTAAAGCGCATGCAAAGATAATCCAAAAAGTGAAACTAACTGGAGTCATATTCCCTAGACTCTTTTCCGTTGCCTTACTTAAGTATTAATGATCTAGTGTATTAGAAACTGATAGATTTAGACACTGGTGTGAAAAAGTTGTTTGGATTGGTTTCCCCCTCAATATTCGAATTATCCAGAATAAATTCAATCCAACTAACCAATTTTAAAACGAAGTTACATCCCATCATAATTGTCAAAATTGAATTCATAAATTTTCACACCATTGAATCTATCAACTTTCAATTCACAATCTCAGTGTTCACGTCTTATTAAGTATTGAAAGTGATCAATTGAGTTCCCAGCGTGAAGACAAATTGGTTTGACACTTCATTCTACTGGCAAATTCAGCGTCAAATCCGCCTATCGGCTAGCATTGGTGTTGCAACCCATTCGCCGCCGTTGTCATCAGGTATTAGCGTCACCGCTGGATGCATCCCTCTGGCCCAAACTTTTGGGGTCTCCGCTTATTTCCCAAATTAAAATTCTTCCTCTGGCACATTCTCCTTCAAATTCTTCATGTACGTGAGGATTTGCAAAGACATAGACAGTTGTTAGTCCCTAGAATATTTATTCATTCGCTGTCCCGTTGCTATTTGGTTAAGAAATCTTGTCGGCTTTTCCTTCCCCCAAGGATACGATTCTTCCCATCACATTGCATGCGCGAACTTATTCTGCATTCGGATGAGGAGGTCTTGACTCGTTGGGGCTTACTTTTTTGGAGACTATGGAAAGGGAGGAATGATGGGGTTTTTCTCTCCCAGGATGGAGAATCGCGAGTTACGGCCTATTCACGATCATAACTTCTCTAGTCTGCCCGTGACTCTCCAGGCGACGTCGTCTTAGTAATTCATGAACCAAGGTCATGACTGGCAGCAGGGAGTTACTGGCGTAACCGTAGCTTGATGGGTCCATCCTTAACTTGCATATGTTACCTCTATTTCGCCATCCTCGAGTAACGGCCTGGCAGGGGACGTCATGGTTTGGCAAAGAATTTCACGGTCGTGGCCGTGACTCTCTTGCCTTGGTCGTAATTCTTAATCTGATCAACGACTCTTGGTCCGTCTCTGCTCCATTTGATCCAAAAGTTTCCCCAAAGACTTCTATCACGAACTAGGCCCTGAAATATCACAAACAGATGCAATCTAGCATAAAATCAGCATTTAACTGCAACAAAATTATTCCAAACGACCTAAGAATGAAGGGGGAAACATGTGCTAAAACCGTGTTATCAAATTCCCTCACACTTAACCATTTGCTTGTCACCAAACAAACCAAGTCAGACACAAGGTAAGCTCAAAACATTTTAACCATGCAAACTTAGTGAACATATCATGACTTAGCATATATAACATATGATCACAACTAATCAATGTATTACCCTAAACCTAAACATTCAAGTTTGAATCCTAGTCCTAAATCCCCAATTATAAACCCTAATTCTAAATCTCTAAACCCTTAATCCTTCAAAAAGGTGTTGACTCGTATCATCTTCACTATATGTCAGATATACATTTCGAGAATGAGAAAAAAATATGAAAAATTCTATAGGCAATAAAGTTTCAAGAATGCGTTATACAAAAATGAAGAGGGAAAAATATATAACAAGTGTGCAAAAAATAAATTTGGTGACAGACTTTCTTGAATCAATTTATTTCAAAAGCAAAAAAAAAAAAAAAAAAAAACTACTTCATCACAACAATATATGAAAACAGCATTTTCCGTCTATGTTCTAACCCAAAACAACAAACATATAAATTGGAAAGGGTTAAAGACACATTTGGTCACTAAAATTACAAAATCGGTACATGTTTAATCACTAGAAAAAGTTAATATCAAATTTGGTCACTACAATTACTAAAACTGGACACATTTAGTCACTCGCCGTTAGTCTCCGTCCAACTCCGTTAATGAAGTCCGTTAAGTGCTGATGTGGCAAACAGAATTGCCTAATCAGCCGGATATAACCCAACAAAAATAAAATCCGACCCGCCACGTCATTAAAACCAACCCAACCCAACCCTACCCAACCCTTCTTCCTCCTTCCTCCCACCTCCTTCTTTCCCCAAAACCCTACCCCAAGGGGATGAAGTAGATTGGTGGTGGTGGTGGAGTTTTGACTGAGCTGCAATCAGAGCCAGAAGCCGTTGCCGGAGACAGGAAGCGCAGACACCCACGCTGCCGCTGAGGTCGCAGGGGTGCTGCTTACAGTTCATCCCGCTCCGCCGTTGACGATGCCCGATTGTTGTAACAGTAGATTTCATATCAGAAGAGCGGGCCTGACGTTTTCTTCCCCCAGATGATGGGGGATACCGACGGTGGCCGATTCTCCGGCGAAGGAAACCGTATACAGAGAGATCTGATTCCGATTCCGGGAGAGGAGAATTCGGGGACCGAAAATTGGGGAAGAAAGGTAGATTTTGTCTGGGCTAATAGGAAATTAGAAAATTGGGTATTTTCGAGAGAAATCAGCTTAGCTAGGGATTTTATTGGAGACCGCCAAAATAATCAGCGAATTCTCGTATCTATAAGCGCGAATTCAAATTCCAAAAACTCGTCCGCTTGCTGGTTGACTCTGCTCGTCCTTCCTCCTCATCGAAGTCACCGCCGGAGATCGAGTAGTTTCGACAATTTCCGGTCCTCAAGCTTGAGAGCGGCGGCGGCGGTGGTTTTGGGGAAAGAAGGAGGTGGGAGGAAGGAGGAAGAAGGGTTGGGTAGGGTTGGGTTGGGTTGGGTTGGTTTTAATGACGTGGCGGGTTATAATGATGTGGCGGGTCGGGTTTTATTTTTGTTGGGTTATATCCGGCTGATTAAGCAATTCTGTTTGCCACATTAGCACTTAACGAACTTCATTAACGGAGTTTAGTAATTGTAGTGACCAAATTTGATATTAACTTTTTCTAGTTACTAAACATGTCCTGATTTTGTAAACTCAGTGACCAAATGTGTCTATAACCAAAATTGGAAATGATACCGGGGATCTTCGTGGATGTTAGAACCCAAAATACCTGCCTTTCAAATTCAATCCATGCCCCCTGCGGAATCAGATAAAAAAAAAAAAAATACCACAAGCCAAAACAAAGCGGCACCAAAAATCCAAACCAAACGGTTGGCCCAGAATGAGAGAGCTCGTCATCCTCGGCTCCTCCTCCATCGTCAATCCTCCAAACCACCACCTCCCCGACGGCCACCGCCGCCACCACCACTCCCCCAAGCCCAAACCCAAACAATCCGTCGCCCCC